AACTGCGCCTTGTTGAGGATCGCGTTGGAGAAGTTGGCGCCCTTGTTGTCCCCACAGCCGGCATCATGAAGACCATGGTCAGCACGTGTACACTTGGTCGTGTCGTTGGTCGTGTCGTGTCGTGTCGTGTCGTGTCGTGTCGTGTCGTGTCGTGTCGTGTCGTGTCGTGAGTGTACCTCCAAATCGCACATCGAAAAGTGCACGTTGAGGAGCTGCATGTGCGAAAAGTCCATTCCGCGCATCTTCATGCCTGACATCGACAACATAAATCCTGCATGACACAACATAAAAGAAAGGGCTTAGGGCGCTGAAGCCGCACATGCACACACACGCGCGCACACACAAACAAACACACACGCACACACACGTACGCACGCACGCACGCACATACCTTTGATGCGGGCCATGGTGAGGCAGTGGAAGAACTCGGCCTTGGTCATGTCGGTGCGGCTGAGGCGCATGTCCTCCTGCTTGCGCCGCAGCTCGTCGACGAGCGGCTGGATGCAGTAGAACTCGGCCTCGCGGATGACCGCGTCGATCGACGTGCCCTGGGGCACGCTGGACACGCCCGTGCGCAGGAATGTGAGGATCGGCGCAAAGTACTGGCCGTCGCGGTCGATGAAGAACGCGCCCGAGTCGTCCCGCACGGTGCGGAACTTGCCCGACAGGATTGACGTGAAGTAATTGTCGACGGCCGCACGATGCCGCGGCAGGTTGAGCCCCATCAGCGTGCCCCTGCACATTCCATGCATTCCCCCGTGCGCGCGGTTAAGATGGCGGAGGAATTGCTTAAGGTGGCGGGTGACGCACTTGGTGGTGGTGTAGCGGTAGCCGCCGACGTTGATGCGGATGATCTCCTCCTTGACGTGCGACGGGATCTGGTAGACCTCGAGGCCCTCCTCCTCCTCGCCGTCGGATGACGTGGCAGGCGACGTAGAGGCCTCGCTGGCCAATGATGACGTGGCGCTGTCCGACGATGAGCCCTCCGTGGCACTCGTGTCGTCGTCGGACTCGCTGCTGCTCGACGACCCATGGCGCGAGGCCGACGCCGACGCCGCAGCCGATGACGACGACGAGCCCGTCGACGACGACCGTGCGCCGCGGCGCTTGCGGCCCTTCGGCTTCCGCTTACGCGCAGACGCCGACTTGCTGCTGCTCGTCGCCCCTCGTCGGCTGCCGCTCCGGCTGCGACTGCTGTCGCGTCGCGTTCGTCGTCTTCGTTCTTTTCTCGTCGCTTTGTCTTCTCTTTCGTCGTGTGGCGGCCCGAGCTCGCTGCTCGTCTCGCCAGCGCCGCCAGCGCTCAGGCTCGAGCTGCGTTCGGTCCGGCTCGCGCTGCGCGAGCGACTGCTGCTCGTTGCGCTGCTCTCGCTCCGCCGGCTGTTGCAGCTGCTGCTCCCGCTCCGGCTCCGCCCGCTGGCGCTGTCCTCTGCCGTGCTGGTCGTGGTGGTGCTGGTCGTGGTCCCGCTGGCATCGGACGACAAGTCCGAGCTGCCCAGCTCCGACGAGATCGACGACGTCGAGTCAAAGTTGGGCACGCCGCTGTCGCTGGTCTCCGCTTCGCTATTGTCGTCGTCTTCGTTTTCGTTTTCTTCTCCGTCTTCCTCCTTGTCACGCTGATGTCGCTTGCGCCGTCGCCGGCGTTTGTCGTAGTCGTCGCCCTTCTTGTGTTCGTGCTTCTTCGTCTTCGCTTTCTCTTTCGCCTTCGTCTTCGCTTTCTTTTTGCTGTTGCTGTTGTTCTCCTTGCGCTGCTCGAGCTTTTGTTCGAGCTTCTTGATCATGCGCTTGTTCTCCTTGCGCTGCTGGCGCTCGCGGTGCGAGGTGTGCTCAACAATCACCACCGCTGCTGGCTGCGGCGGCGGCGGCGGCGGCAGCCCGGCCGTGCCGCGGGCCAGAACGTCGCGCACGTGGCACACGGCTGCCGGTCCCGCCGACGTCGACGTCGACATTGACGCCTCAGACGACAACGACGACGGCGTCGACAGCAATGACGTGGCCGGCGTGAAGGTCGGATAGGCGCCTCCGCTGCCGATCTCGCCGCCGGCGATCACGGTCGGCAGAAGCAGCTCGCTGGAGCCCGAGCCATCCGACATCGCGTCCCGCGCCGCACCCTTGTGGTGGTGCTGCTGGAGCTGCTGTCGCATCAGAAGCCGCTCCGACGACGTGTGGCTCATCATCGGCGCCACGCGCGGCTCGCCGAGCTCGGCGCTGCGGGTGCTGCTGATCTTGGTCTCTTTTTCCTTGTCCTTGTCCTTTTCCTTGGTGTCGGCGCGACGTCGGCCGCGAGGCGAGGGCAGGAAGGGGATTTTGCGGGGCGATGGCGGCGTGCGGGTGGTGAGCGACGAGAGGAACGACGGCGCGGCGATGATCATGGCCGGCGATGACGGCGCCGACGATGATGATGTCGACGATGAGACCTCAGCAGCGACGTTGCCACTCGTGGGCGAGGAGCGCGGGGTGATGGCCGAGCGCAGCATGCGCGGGGGCGACGTCGGCGGCGACGTCGAGGCCGTGGCCGGCAGCGCCGGCTCCGATCGCGAGTGGCCTGACGACAGGAACGACACCGAGACCGACGGCAGCGCGACCAGCGAGCCTGTCGATGCTGACGTCAGCGTCGACGTCGACGACGATGACGACGATGATGATGACGTGGCATGGTGCGCGGTGGTGGGCGAGGGCAAAGGCGACGAGGAGAGCGAGGAGGAGGATGAGTAGGCCGGCGGCCCGGAGAGGGGCGACGACGAGGGCAGGGAGCGAGGCGAGGGCGGAACGAGGGACGTGTCGCAGCGGGCCGCGGCGGCGAGCCCAGCTGGCGCGCAGGCCGTGGCGGCCGACCCGGAATCGAGCGTGCGGGCTCGCTTCCGCTCCTTGCTCTCCTTCCGCGCTGCCGCCGCGCTGCTGTCACTCTCCGTGCCACTGCTGCCAACGAACATTAGCCACAAACGCACGACACACGCGACACGACACACGCGGCGCACGACACGACATACACAACAGGCGACGAACGTTTTGTGGGAGTTGGCGATGGCTCGCCGCGACGAGCTCTTGCCCGCCTTGGGCGGCTTGGCCTCGGTGTCGGCCGGCACGGCCTCCTTGCTGGGCTTCGTGGTGGTGGTGGCCGACGGCGGCGACTCGAGCCGCTCGCCCGACACGATGGCCCGTATGGCCGCCCCGAAGCCCTTGGGCGGCGCCGAGCCGGCCGTGACGGCCGAGTCTTCTTCGGCAGTCACCACCGCAGGAGCCTGGGCGGCCTTGCCGGGCTTGTGGTGGTCGCTAGGCTGCTGTTGCTTCAGTTCGGCGACGCTGGCCTTGGCCGGGAGCGACCCATACTTCTTTCGCCCGCGCTCCTTCTCGCGCTCCTCCTTCTTCTCTCTTTCCTTCTCTCGCTCTTCTCTCTTTTCCTCTCTTCGTTCTTCTTTCTTTTCCTCTTTTCGTTCTTTCGCGCTCCGCCCGCGCGACTTGTCGTCTACGCCGGCCTCGTCGCGCTCCTTCTCGCGCTCGCGCTCCTCCTTTCGCGCTTTGCGTCGCACGCTCGACCCGCCGGTGCCGAACAGCCCAAAGGCCGACGTGCTCCGCTTCACCCGCTTCTCCTTGGTCCTGGCCAAGTCCCTCTCCCTCTCCTTCTCCTTCTCTTTTTCCTTCTCTTTCCCTCTTTCCTCCTTCTTCTCCTTCTCCTTCTCTCTTTCGCGCTCGCGGTTCTCCTTCTTTTCCTTCTCCTTCTCTCTTTCGCGTTCGCGTTCGCGTTCCTTCTCTTCGCGCTTCTTCTTTCGCTTTTCCGCGTCGGCCACCAGCTGCCGCACGCCGCCGCCAATCAGCCCCGCATCCTCCGCCATCGCCTCCTGCTGCTGCTGTTGTTGCTGCTGCTGCTGATGATGATTGTGATGATGGTCGTCGCCCTCCATTCCGCTGGCGCCGTCCCAGCTGTCGGCCTTGTCGGGCGTGCGGTTGCCGGCGCCCTTGCCGATGAACCGCTCGAGCGAGCGCTTGTACTTTTGCTTGCGGTGGTTGTGGCTGTGGTGGTGCGCGCGCAGCGACGACGGCGGCGAGTCGTCGTAGAACGACAGATCGCGCCGCGCCGACGGACCCTCGGACGGCGGCGCCGGCTGCAGGTGGTGATGGTGGTGGTCGCCGGCGATGGGCGAGTCGTCTTCGAGGGACGAGGCCGACTGCAGGTGGTGGTGTTCACCACCGCCGCCGGCGTGATGGTGTTGATGGTGGTGCAAGTGGTGGTGGTGCGGGTGGTGGCCGCCGCCGAACCCGCCGTCGTAGTACTCGATCAAGTGGTTCATCTCCTCCTCGCTCACCTCCATCTTGAGCCGCTGACCTTCTCAGACCCTCTTGACTAATCGGCCACATAAATATTGAATTAAAAACAAAGAGCAAATCAATCAAAGGGGGAGGGCTGCAGATCTGATTCAAAAGTAGAAGTGCGAGGGAGGAAGCATACCTAAAGTGGGCCAAATGGGGCTGAAGGGCGTAACCACTGCGATCGAGAATGGACGAAGATCGATGTAAAAGGTGGTAGCCAGGTCCAGTTCTTCGCTGTTTGCCTTGTGGCGGTCTTCCACCCAAATTAATTTGAGTCATTCCGCGCGTTCGAATCCCGCCTTGGCCAAGCGAAGAAACGTCGCTTGAACGTGGACATAGGCTGCCGTAGGAGTTTGTTCGGCCTAAGCCCGGCCATCACGTGATGGTAGCGTTACAGCAACCCTCGACCATCTTGCTTGGACCCTACACTTGCATTCAAGCTTGAACACCCGCAGGAGGAAAAGAAGAAGAAGAAGGAGAGGATCCAAAGATGAAGACACTGAACCACACCATTGCCGCTGCGGAGCAGATACCGGTGGCAGTAGTATCGGAAGAGGAGCACCTGGCGAGTGGCGGTCTGTTCGAGGAGCCTGAGGAGTACTTCAAGCCGGAGTCAGAGCCGACCTTCCGCTCGTACCACCGCAAGGGTTGCGGAGATGAAGGTAACTCAACTCTTCGCTTCCGGAACTGATCTGTGGCGAAGATCAGAAGAGATTAAATCTCAGAACTAAAGATTAAATCTCTGAACTCGTGTGTCTATGTAGTGAAGCTCAAGCTGGTGGGCAGCCACCCGCTCTGGGCTCACATGTTGTGGAACGCGGGGCTCGTCCTGGCCGACTACCTCGACGCCAATCCGTCGCTCCTCCAGGACAAGACGTACGCCAGGGTCAGTTTCTAAAAAAGAAACGATTTCCAAAAGTGCAAAGAGTGTTGGGCAAAATGCCCAAGCCGTGCTGACTCCTTCTTGCGCGAACACTCTAGGGTGCTTGAACTTGGTGCAGGCGGAGCGCTGCCTTCCATCATCGCCGTCAAGTGCGGCGCGAACAAGGTACGCCTTAGTGGGCATGTATTTTATATATTTTATATATCGTTTGATGAGCCTCACGTGGAAACATGTGTATGTGCAGGTGGTGGTGACCGACTATCCGGAAGACGAGCTCATCGTCAACATCAACGAAAACATCGAGAACAATACGACCGCGAATGAGCGCGAAAATGTGGTCAACGTCCAGGGCCACCTGTGGGGTTCGTCCATGGAGCCCCTGCTGGCGGCCCTGTCTGAGAGCGGTGAGACCAAGTTCGACGTCATCATCATGGCCGACCTCATCGCCAACCACAGCCAGCAGAACAAACTCCTCCAGGCCGCGCGAGAGGCTCTCAGCGATGAGGGCGTCGTACGTTCAACGCCTCCAGATCAGCTTCACGATGCTGAGTTCACTTCTTACCGTGTGTCGTGTCGTGTGTCGTGTGTTTTCCATGTGTGCCGCTAGGTGTTGGTGTCGTTCTCGTCGCATCGACCGACGGTGGCCCACCTCGATGAGCGATTCTTCGAGATGGCACGCGAAGAGGAGCACGGGGCGTTTGAGGTTGAGCACCTCTTCACCGAGCGGCTGCTCAAGCCCATGTTCAAGGTCGACTGGGGTTCTGACACCGTCCACGTTCGCACACTCAAGCGAAAGGAATAGCAATCAATTCCAATTAAAACAAAAACAAAAACAAACAACAAAAAGAACGATTTATTTATTTATTTACAATCTTCTCTTTATGTGGCGGTGAGGGGAAAGGACATGTAGTACTCACGGGCGTAGAGCAGGGTCGCCAGAGGCGTGGAGCAGAACATGATGCACCACCATAGCAAGTTCCCCAGTTGCGTGTCTCGAAGCGGGCGCAGAGCGTAGATGAACACCACTGAGATCACACACACACACACCGCGTGGTCAGCAAACCCGCACGTGAACAAACGCGCACGCAACACCAACAGAGTAGAAGCCTCGTACGTTCGAGCACGACGACGGAGAGTATGTAGGGGTTTCGCACGCCGAAGGACACGGCCATCAGCGCCTGAATATTAATTATTAATATATTTTAAATCTGTTTCCTGGTAAATGTAAAGAGTACGCACCTCGTAGATGAAGTGGGAAAAGAAGAAGGTGATCCAGAGGGCCGACGACTTGCTGTGGTTGTTTTGGATCCGTCGGTTGTAGATGTGCACCAACAACCTGCGGGCGCGGAAGCGCGTTTAAAAAATCAGACTATGAGCGCACGCGGCAGCACGACACACGACACAGCTCGCTTTGTGGTACCATTCGTGGATGGGCCGGTTCCATTTCCGCGCAAACTCGTCGTAGGCAGTCGAATTCCTGCGTGGTTGGTAAGAAAGTGTTGTGTGTTGTGTGTTGCGTGTTGTGTGTTGCGTGTTGTGTGTTGCGTGTTGTGTGTTGTGTGTGTGTGTTGTGTGTCGTGTGTCTGGTGTCGTGTGTGTGTGTGTGTGTTGTGTGTTGTGTGTTGTGTGTTGTGTGTTGTGTGTTGTGTGTTGTGTGTTGTGTGTCGTACCACCAGTCGTCGTAGAAGTGACGATCGGCAAAACGGGTGATCTCGGCGAAACCGTTGAGGATGAGCTCGAATACGAAGAAGAATCTAGTCCCCAATACAATATGCGTAAGTGGACGCGTTTCAATCACTAATTGAAGAGGAGGAGAGCTGACGTACATCACAATATAGAGGAGACTGCAAGGGATGCACAGAATCGAAAGCAGATACTAAAAAGGGAAGCTCGTTCGACTGTTATCATAATGAACACACACGACACACACGCACAACGCATACGCACGCACGCACACAACGCAATGGAGAAGGTGAGTCAGACTGGGAGGGGTGTGCAGGCAAAAAGAAAGGCGAATGTGGGGTACCTTTCGAAGGATGGGGAGGATGAAGTGAGTGAGACCAGTAACGATCATCGAGAGGATGCCCGCGACCAAGGCCAACGTCTTGATTACAAATTTTGGACGTACGCGCGGCGTGCGCGGAAAGTTGGCCTAATCGACGCCCACACGGCACGACACGACCAACGACACGACCAACGACACGACCAACGACACGACCAACGACACGACCAACGACACGACACGAGGTGAGCACGTGTGCGCAAAGACGTTCAAGGCGGCGGCGGAGCCTGTACCTGGTAGACCAGAGTCGGCATAAATAGAAAAGCGAAGAAGTCGCGCAAGTTGACTGGAAAAAGAAGAACGAAGAACGAAGAGGAATGAAGAAATGTCAAATTCATGAATGCTTTTGGACTTGGTTGTGAAGAAGTACGGCATGGCGCGTACCGTTTTCTGGATAATGCACCGTGGGCTGCGGCGGCTCGTCGTAGTATTGATCGTCGGCGTCGTCCTCGTCGTTCCCCGCGTTGTCGTCTGCATCATTACCATTGGCGCCCGGTCTGCGTCGGCGTCGGCGTAGTGGAGTCCGGTGCGGCGTGCGGCCGTCGTCTTCGTCGTCGCTCTCGTCGCTGTCGTCGTCGCCGTCCACCGGCTCGGAGCCGGAGCCGCGCCTGGCCTGGCGGCGCCTCAACCGTCGGAGGTACTTGTAGTGGTAAAACTGGTTTTGCATGATGTAGGAGTGCATCTTCATGCACATCAGCACCATCATGAACAGAATATATGTGCATTGTGCTGCACCACGTGTCCACATACACAATTAGACGAAATTGTCATAATAAATAATATAATAAGTACTTATTCATATATAAAAAATCATATATCTAGAGAAAATTTCAGAAATAAATCAATAAATATAAGAGAGAGGCAAGTACTCGGGGGAAGCTCCCAGGTGCAGACGGCGAGGATGGGCGTGATCACGGCGAAGGCGAGGAGGAAGTAGTGGATGAACTCGCAGCGCTCGATCGATACCATGCCCCGGATCGTGCATCGCTGCAGGTAGAAGAAGCTGAACGTCGTCGCTTGCACCATCTGCGCGCCCGACGCGTGAGTGTCAAGGTCATGAGCGTGTGCGGCAGTGTGTGCGGCAGTGTGTGGTAGTGTGTGCGGTGCGTACGAGGTACATGAGCCCCATGATGGGCAGCTCCTGGGAGATGACCAGCCACAGAGCGCTATCTACAAGCTTGTGTCCGGCCGTCTCGTAGTAGTTGATGATGCACTGCGACACCACGAACAACACCTGGCAACCACAGAGCGCATCAATAACGGATAAAACAATTTTTTTAAAAAAAAGCATGGTTTTAATTCGAAAAGTGTAAATCTCGATCAAGAAAAATGGAAATGCAAGAAAGACGGGATACGCACTCCAATCACGTAGAGCATGTTACGGAACCCGCGTAGCGTCTTCGAATTGAGATTATCAAAATTGGAGAGGATGGATGGGCGTGGCATGAACTTGGGGTTGAATCCACTCTTGCTGGCCCCGCCATTTGGGGCCGGCCGTCTTTGGATCCACCACATCCCTTGCCCTTCGTCCTTCGTCCTTCGCACTTGCTTCGTACCAAGAAATATAAAAAATACCAATAAAACAAGACAATGCTGTCATTTATTTTATTTTATTTTAGTGTATTTATTTTCCTTATTTTCAGGCTGGCGATGCAACCCATGACGGTGATGCCGCCAGGTACGGCAGCGATGGCCCACGGCGGCTTGCGAGCAGTGGGAGGGATGGCAGTGCGGCCAGCGCCCCTGCTGCACCTCTTCTGTCGCGGCACCCTGGGCAAGCGCGGTCAGGTCATTGCCATCCGCCGCCCCGCGCCCCGACACAACGTCATCTTCTTTCCTGTACCCACCCCTTTGCTATGAATTCGATTTCATTTTGCTTATTTTTTTACACCTATTTATAAATATTAAAATGTACATTAAAATGAATGCCTAAAGTTTGAACATGCAGGGCGATGTGCAAAACGTAGAGGACACAATGATTGCGTACGTCGTGCTAAGTGAAGGCACGCACGCATGAGCACTCACCGAACACGCGCGCGCACACCACACACACGACACACACACGACACACGATAGGCTCGGGTCTCAGGAGTGGTTGGACTTCTCTCTGACCAAAACTGCGCAGATGCTGAGCGAGAAGTGGCCCGACGCCAACGTCTACGTCGTACGGTACGGCCCCGTAGTCGCATATGCGACGTGACGTGCCGTTGTGGGCCGTTGGTGGGTGGGACCACTCACGCACTTACCACCCTTTTTTGGCGTGGCTCTGGCAGGCCCTCGCGAACCGACGGGCCATACAGCGAGTACGACGACCTGCTCATACCCGGCAACGGCGTCCTCCATCTGCAGGCCCTCCTCGCCGATGTCTTCAAACAGAGTGCGTGCCTGGGCTTGCTCTGCCTGGGGGTTGCCGTTAACTGACGTTTGTGGGCCACTTACGCGAAATTTCTTCTTCTTCGTTGCTTCTCCCAGCATCCTCGCTTGAGTCGGCCGACTTGCCGCACACTCTAGTTGCCTTTAGCAAGGGTGCGCCGCACACGCACACGCACCACCGCACACGCACCACCGCACACGCACGGCTAAGCTCGATCATTGCTGGCATTGTACAGGCGGAGTGGTGCTGAACAGTATGATGGCCGAGCTGGCGACGGTCCTGGCGGCGCGACGAGGCTGCGACGGCGTGGACCAGATTTTCGACTGGGAGGCTAAGGAGGCGGCCGCCCACCTGCCGTCCTGGGAGCCCGCCCAACGGATTTCACGGTCCGCTACGCACGCAACCACACACACACCACACACCACACACACGCAGCTCGCCAAGGAGGCCGGCTAACCATCGCACGTGAGCAGCCTCCGCCCAAAAGCGCAAAGCCTGCTGTCACAGAGCGACGCAGTGCTGTCGTTCTTCGGTCGTGTTCGCGACGTCTACTGGCTTGATTGCCACCGGTACGGCACACCTGTCGGCCCTATGCCACCTCAATCGCCACCTTAAATCAATCTCGGCACGCGCATGTGGTCAACACACCAGATTCCCGACGGCGTTGGCGGTGACGTCCGAGCTGCGGCGATATGCCCACGAGCGGTGGGACGCAGGACTGCGCCTGCGGGTCTACGGCACGCCCCAGCAGCTGGCCAACCACAAGAAGTCGTTCGTGCGCATCGAACACGACCAGTTCGTTCGCCAGATGTCCAGCGACGACGAAGATGACGCGCCAACACCATCTGCAGCCGGTGGCGCTCCACCATCGCCCGCGTGTCTGCTGGAGGACAGAAATTTCTTCACCGACGAGCCGCCTTCCATGCTCAACCACTTCCGCATTCTGCGCGAGTTCTGAAGCCAGAGAAACTACAATCACCCATGCGAAGTATCAACACACTCTAATGATGATGGTGATGATGGTGATGATGATGATGATGATCAGGGCGTTGATCAAGGGGCGATGCGATTCCACCTGGCGATGCGACCGGACCGGTACTGGGCCACCAGGAAGCTCAGGCCGTCCTCGCTTGGCGTGAGTGACGCCAGATCGCGCTGGCCGGCGAGCGTCCACGACGGCGTCGGCTCCGAGCCGTTGTTGGTGCTGCCAAAGCAGTCGAAGGCCAGCAGGGAGCCGGTGGTCTTGTCCTGGAGCAGCGCCCATGTGTCGTACATCGCCTGGCGACATATATGCGAAGTTAGTTGTTAATGTAATGTTATGTTGATGTGTAATGATCAGCCAACACATCAGTGATCAAAGCACGCACCAGAAGGCCAGCTCGGGCGCTGGGCTCGCCGGCGGCCTTGAGCGTGACGTTCAGGGTCACCCGGCTCGTCAGCGGGTCGACGCAGGTGAGCCACTCGGCGTGCGCGAGCTGCAACGACCAACCGGTCGCCAGCCGGGCGCACAGGCGCTGTTCGCCGCTGCTGTGGTTCAGGACCGCGCCCGCGTAGTTCAGGGTGACCTTCTCGGGCGTGTCCCACTGCACCAGCCATCGCGACTTCAGGCTGCCGTCAGTGACCGCGTAGGTGTCGAGCTGGGTGGTCCACGGGACCCGGTCGCCCGAGTCTTGGGCCACGACCACCACCTCCTCGGCCGGCTCGACCACGGAGAGCGCGCCCTGGAGGCCCGCGCGAGTCCACACGGGCTTGAGCGAGGCCGGATCGAGGCGCTGGAGCGTGGTGGTCGTGGTGGTGCCATCATCACCGACGGCGTAGGAGTTGAAGAGAAGCCCGCGGCGCTGGGCCAGGAGGAGGTTGGAGTTGATGGAGGACGAGTAGGAGGAGGAGGGGAAGGTGAACACGGCCGCGGGGCTGTCGGGACTGTAGTCGGGCGCCTGGAGGCGCATGAGGTTGTTCACCGACTGGCGTGTGTGGATCATGTAGAGGAAGCCCCACCGACTGAGCTGCGCCGTATTGGTGTCATGTGGCCCCGCGTCCTGCCTCACCATCGGTTTGCCCGTCTAGTCACGCACATCGAACACAGTCGGAGTTGTAGTGGGGGGGGAGCGAATATTCATCTTATGTAGGAAGATGGAGGAGCGAGAAGTCATAGCATATACCTTGGGGTCGAGTAGGGCAAAGCCGCGCCATTCGATGAGGTTGGGCTCTTGGCCAGCCTCCAGGTAGTAGTCCGCCACCAGGGCGTCGAGCCGCAGTGGCCCCGCGCGCCAGAAGGGCAGCGTGTAGTTGTCGCCGTCGTACTGGTCCTCGATGCCCGCCGAGCGCCACAGCGGGGTGCCGTCGGCCAGGGCCAGACCCTCGAGCGTGCGCTGGTACGCGGTGGGTCCCACCCGCGCGACGGCGACCAGGCCCGGCCGACTCGGAGCCGACGCCACGAACACGCCGCCCACCACCTGGTCCTTGCCTAGGGGCACGTCGCGCGACCAGGCCACCACCAGCGGCGCCCCTACGCCGGCGACGTCCGGAGTGAAGATGACCCCCTTGGCAGTGTCCGCGGCAGTGGAGGCCGACAGAAGACAGCAGTAGCTCACGATTGCGGCGAGGAGCACGAGCTGGCGTACCATGATGACGATGACGATGTACGCGTGAGGTACCTCAGACAAAGAGCTCTAGTCTGCGCATGAAGGGAGGAAAGCGCACACAACACCTTCCTCTGCTTCACCGACACCCAGAATTTGCCTGGATGTACCCGATAGGCCCGGAACTAACAGCAAGTAATATATCGAATATCTTTTAAAATGATTAAAAAAACAAAAAACAAATAAATCCATCATAAAATGGAGGTCCCAGGAAGCACAGCAGCTCGTTTCGTGGTGCAAAACGTGTTTGTGCCCCGCGCCCTCTTGCAAGGTACGCCCAGCCCTGCTGTTTTGCTTTCGAAAGCACACAAATCTAATCTTTTGTTTTGTTTTGTTTGGGGGGGAGGCAGAGGAGTGGCAGGAGCGGGGCAACACCGAGTGCGTGCGTCGCGACGTCCACTTTGACGGCGACGCCGGGCTGATCGTGGCCGTGCACGAGCCCAACGACGCCGGCCCGGCCGACCCTGCCATCACCGTCATCGACGGCACCAACAAGCTCCTGCTTCCCGGGTAAGAAACTCTTCTTTTGTGCCTGCCGTGGTGGTGTACCGTTGTGTTGTGTTGTGCGCTGACGCCGTGCGTGTCGTGTGTCGTGTGTCGTGTCTGTGGGCTGGCGCAGGTTCCTGAATGGGCACACGCATTCGGGCGAGATGTACAACCGCGGGGCGATCCCGCCGCTGCCCCTGGAGCTCTGGCTGGGCTACCTCTGGGACCATAGCCCGCAGGACCCCGCGCTCTACTACCTCTCCGCCCTCCTCAACGTTGTTCATCACACCCGCCTTCTCGTCCCTCTCTCGCACGCCCCTCACCGTGTGTGCGGTGATGCGTGTGTCGTGTCGTGTCGTGTGTCGTGTCTTGTCGTGTGCGGCGCGTGCGGTGGGCCAGGCGGTGGAGGGACTGAAGACGGGCGTGACGTGCGTGCTGGACATGCCCTCGGTCATGGGCAGCCCCGGCCAGGAGTTCGAGTGCCTCGAGGCCGTCTGTCGGGTAACGCAGCGGCTTCCCCGCCGCCGCCGCATACGGCTCTTGCTGGCATGGCATGGCGTGACGTGGCAATTGATTGCAGTGCACCCCACGACCAACGACACGACACGACCAACGACACGCAGGCGTACAGGGAGGTGGGGATCCGCGCGTTCGTGTGTCCTCTCGTGGGCGACCTGCCCTTCGACGCGGCCGTGGCGTACGGGTGCGGCCACGGGCGCAGCCCCTACGCCGGAACGGACAAGCACGACCCGCGCAAGACCGACTGGATCATGGCCTTCATGCAGAACGCCGTCGAGGTGCTCACCCGCACACACGCACCACCGCACACGCCTCACCGCACACGCCTAACCGCACACGCATGAGCAGAAGCTGCATCGGCCGGAGGAGGGAATAGAGATTGGGGTGGGTCCGACCGGCATGCAGATGTGCAGCGACGAACTGTTCACCCGGTGCCGGGAGCTGAGCGAGAAACACGGGCTCGTGCGGCACACGCACCTCCTCGAGACCGTCAACCAGAAGAAGGTGCGTCGATGTGGTGTCATGAAGACGACGGTTGTGGCAACGATGGTTGGTTGGTTAGTTGATGAGTTGGTTGGTTCGTCAATTAATTGATTGACTGTGGTGGTGGTGGTGGTGGTGTGTGGTAATGTCATTAAGTTGGCGGTGGAGAAATACGGATGTAGTGCGGTGGAGCATTTGGCGAAGCTGGGGTTCTTCAACGAGAAGACCACCTGCGCCCACTCCGTCTGGCTCGACAGTAAGTACGTTCCAGACACACCACACACCACACACACACAACACACACACACACACACACACACAAAAACGAGCAGAAGAACTCAATCGACGCAGTGACATCGAGGTGCTGAAGACGACCGGCGCGACGCCCGTCCACAACCCGCTCTCCAACCTCCGCTTGGGCAGGTACGCGCAGGGCCTCCATTCAACAAACGGCCCTCTCCAGCGCGCCTGGTTCACCCGCGCGTCCGGTGTGTTGCGTTGATGCGTTTGCGCGCACATTAGTGGGATCGCGCCGGTGCTGAAGTACCTCGACGCCAAGATCAACGTATGCTTCGGATGCGATGGTGCCTCCTCCAACGACTCCCAGGACATGCTCGAGGTGCCACCGCACACAGACACACACGACACACACGACACACACACACGACACACAACGCATAAGCACACACGCACACGCACACACACGCAAGGTGGCTGCTCAAGTTCAACAACGCGCAGGCGATCAAGATGGGTGCGATCCTGCACAACATCACCGACTTTGACTACACCCGCTGGATCACCCCCGACCAGGTCTTCCCACTCTCTCCCATAGAGGGCGATGTGGTTCAGGAATTGAAAGAATGTGGTGGGCCGGCGGTGGGCACATTTCAGGCATTCCGCATGGCGGCGATGGGCGGGGCGCGGGCGGTCGGGCTGCAGGACAAGACGGGCCTCGTCGAGGTGGGCCGGTCGGCCGATCTGGTGCTCTTCGACCTCGCCAACTCGCTCTCCATCCTGCCCCGCACCGACATCCTCGGGTACGACACGACACGACACGACACGACCAACGACACGACACGACCAACGACACGACCAACACGACACGACCAACGACACGACACGATGGCGCACAGGTTGCTGTTGCTGGGCCGGCCCAACAATCTGGTGACGGATGTGTGGGTGCGCGGTCGCCGCGTCGTCAGCAACGGCAAAGTGGTACGCACGCACCGCACCACCGCCACACGGTGCACGGTCTGACATGCTTTTGTTTGATTGCTGTGCGCAAAGGCGGGCGTCGATGAGGAGAAGCTGAAGAGGGACCTGTTTGCGTCCTCGGATTGGAACACCATGCCGCGCACGTCGGCCACGCGCACGTCGGTCGAGCAGCGGTACCGCCAGGTCATGGTCGACACCAAAGACAGCGACGCCAAGCAGTGACCAGAAAAAAGGGGGTTTCGCTGCCTGGAAAAAACCAACACGGTAATAATTTTATTCTGGTTGGCCCAACGCCGGTTGGTTGGTGCACAAAGCAGAAAGAGAGCAGCAAGAGGAAGGCAACAAAGAGAGAAGAGAGTGTACGAGAAGAGGAAGAATAGATATGGCGAGCAAGGTGAACAAGTGGGAGCAGAAGATTGCGGACGCCAATCCCAAGCCCGACTACAAGGTGGGCGAGGAGAAGAAGACGTGGAAGACCAACGGTCACTCTGGCGGCGGTCACACCGCGCACGGTACGACGCGTCATCTTCTCGTTTTGACCTTTCTTTTCACTTTCAACTCACCTAACTCTCTGTCAGATGGCAAGTACAAGGCGGCCACCGTCAAAACACCCACCACCTTCGATAAACCACCACCGCCCAAGAAGAGCCTCACCGACCTGCCCTAGACCATGTTGCCCCCCCCCCAGAGCCCCTTGTACAATCCTAAATTAACTATATTGTAAAAACAGAAAGAAAATTAATTCGCAAACAAGCATTTGCGGAGCTCAGTCCCACTCGTCGTCGCCGGGGTCGTCGTCATCGCCCTGCATGGCGAGCTTGCGCACGTTCATGGCCGCCACCAACGTGTCCTGCAGCGACTGGAAGAGATTGCCGGCCGTCGAAGGCGGCGGCGGTGCTGCGTGCGTGTGCGTCGTGTGCGTGTGCGTGTCAACATGCGTAAGTCAAGCAACACTCGAATGTAGGTGTGTCATACCTGGAGGGCGTCGTTCCACTTTCTTCAGGTCGAAGCCGCCCGAGCGGATCTGCGCCAGCATGGCACCCCGTGGTTCGCCATCGCCACCCGCGGCCGCGGCCGGCGGCGGCATTGGTGGCGCAACCCCGGAAGCCGCGGCCGCCGGCGGAGTGGGCGGCGGAGCCAATGATGGCGGTGACGATGATGACGTCATCTCGGCACTGGGCGGTGGCGGCGCGGGGGGCGCCGGCGAGTCGGCGGGAGCCGCGGTCGTCGCCGCGCGCAAGTCGGACAGGGAGGCGAACGACGGGAACGAGGAGAGCGAAGGCAGAGCTGCGGTCGCGACGACGACGACGAAAACGAAGACGAATACGAAAGCGACAGCCCCGCCCGGGGACCTGGCGACTGGGTGGTGGGGTCGGCCGAGGTCGCCAGGGCGGCCGAGCCCAGGAATGAAGTGGTGGCAGATACGATCTCCTCCATCTCCTGCTGCCGCTTCTTGATGTCGTCGAGCAGCGACGATGTGTGAAGGTTCGGCGGCGGTGTGGGACTGGATGACGTCACGCACGCCCTCGTTGACGCGCTTGATGTTCTCCAGGAGGCACACGAGGAATGTGCCCAGGTATTCGCGCTCGCGGTCGGCCGCGTCGAGCTTCTTTAGCGCCTCAATCTTCTCCTTCTCCACCGTGCGAAATCCTGATAAAAATGAAACGCCACACACGCTTCAGTGCAGCACGACACACGACACACAAGCCACACACGACACACACGACATACACCGCACACGACACAAGTCGAGCGAAGGGTGTACCAGATTCGAGGGTGAGGAGCGAGGTGAGGAAGGTGGAGAGCTGGTTGTCGATTTGGATGTTCTTCTTCTCCTCATCCATCTTGCGGCTCTCCTTGAGCAGCTGCCGCTCCATGTCGTCCATCATCTTCTCCTCGCGCTTCTTCTTCTTCGCCTCCTTCACCCGCTGCTTACTGTCGTCCTTCTCCTTGTTCGACATTGCCTTCTTCTTCTTCATCATCTTCTCATCTTCGTCGCCATCATCATCATCACCGGCCGACGGCGTAACGGTCAGCGCCGGCAACGCCAGTCTCGACTTGGCCGGGCCAGCGCCGCCGCCGACCGACGTCGACAGCGTCGAGGCGGGCGGGGCGGGCTTGGGCGGCGATGGCGGGGCGCCGTCTTCTTCGGTGGCGGTGGTGCGCGGCACGATGATGGACTTGCCCACCATACGCGAACCGCGGGCCACCACCGGCGCGATGATGATCGATTTCGAGACCTGCGCGTTCCTCACACATTCCTCATCAGAACCACACATTCCAAACCGCACGTGGCACGACACACGGCACGACACGCACGCGATACGAATGACACGTGGCACGACACGACACGAACCATCTTGGCGAGGAGCTCGTCGTTCTGTTGCTGCTTCTCCTTGTGGGCGTTGATGTCGGCTCTCTTCTGCTGGAGCTGGCTCTGGAGCTGCTCCAGGGCCTTGAGCTTCTCCTCCTTGGTCCGCTTGATCGTCGACAGGGACCGCTTCTGCTCCTTCGCGCTCAGCCACTGCGCCGCCGTCCCCTTCCCCGTCGGCGCCAAGAACGAAGACGAAGCTGACGAAGAGAACGAAGACGACGACGACGACGACGACTTTTCGCTGTTTTGGAGCTCGACGCTGCCGGCCTGCAGCACGTCCAGCACCGACGCCGCCGGAGCGGACGAAGCCTCGTCGGCCGCCGACCCGGCGGCGGCTTCGGCCTGGCCCCGCCTGACCAGCGACCCGGAGCCGGAGCCCTCGCCACCGGCCGACTGCTGCAGTCGCTTGCGCTCCTCGCGGAAGAAGCTGCCCACGCCGCTGCCGCTCCGCTTGAGCTCTTGGCTGCCTCCCGCATCGGCCTCCGACGCCGGTGCGCCGCCGCCGCCGAGCTTCTCTTCGCGCATTCGGCGCAGAAAGTCGCTCGAGGCCGATGACCGCAGATGAGGCGTCGATGACGGTGATGATGATGACGACGACGAAGAGTCATCAGAGGTTGGCAAAGACGATGAAGAAGAAGAAGAGGAGGCGGCCATTTGGTCGCGCAGTTGGCGGAACTCGTTGCGGTCGGCGGAGCTCATGGTGTGGGCCTTGAAGGTGCTGCGGGCCGAGGCGCTCTTGCCCTTCTGCTCCTCGAGGCTGGCCTTGGCCGCACGCAGCCGCTCGAGCGCGGACGACCTCCCGCCGCTCCCCGCGCTCCCCTTCTTCTTCGCCAGCTTGCTGCTGCTGGTCGGCTCCTTCGTCGACGCGTCGTTGTTGCTGTCCTCCATCTTTTGCTGTTGTTCGAGCTGTGTGCACAAGAAAGAAGACTGAACTGGTGCCAAGGAGTCACAATAATGAAAGATAAAATTCTAACATTCCGTACACAAGTGTTTAAATTATTTATTTTATTGCATACGAATCAGGACGGGCGAGTAGAAGAGGCTGGTCGTAGTTGTAGTTGAAGTAGAAGCGATAAAAGAGGAGAGGACGGCATGGATGGAGGATGTGTACTTCTCGATGGTTATTTGTAGTAGTAGTCGTTTCGGATCCTCCTGAGGTGGTCCTGCTGGTCCTGGTGGGCCTTGAACTGCGTGCGGAGGGTCTTGAGCTTGCTATGCAGCTGGTTCGAGTTGTCCTCCACCCACTGCAGCGAATGCAGATGCGCATTCAGGATCTCCACAATTTGATACACCTGTTCCACGACACACGACACACGACACACGACACACGACACACGGTGAGTAAAGCGACCTCGCAAACTGATTGTAGTCTGTGGTGGCCGAGGGAAACTGCGTACGGGGTTGTCAGAGTCGGCGGCGCTGGTGTGCGCAGCGTTGAGCTTGTTGATGTGGTCCTTGAGCGTGTTGGCCATCTGGTCGAGGTCCGAGTTGATCTCCTCGGCCAGCGCGTATCTTGAGACGACACAACGACGTGATCGATAAAGTCAGAGAAACGAAACATGAAAACACAACCAAGCTTATCATTTAGATTGAAATCGCGTACCCGCTCTCTCTTTCGGAATCAGCGCCGCCCAGCTGCCCGTTGCTTGTTCGCGCAGTGTACACCTTGTCCACCTCGTTCTCCAATTGCTCCAACTGCCGTCAAAATAGCGAGGAAACGAGCGAGTTGAGGTTTAGCTCACAAGCTCGTGGGCCGTGTGCGTATGGCATGCCATAGAGATATAGCGATAGAGGGCAAGAGTCGCATACCAGCTGGTGCAGCTCATCCTGCTGCCTGGAGATGATCTCGAGGTTGGAGTCGAGCGTCTTCTGCGCGACTTCCACCTTCTTGACACTTCCGTGCAGGGCCATGATCTGTTCGAGAGGATGGGTGAGGACCATCACACACCACGGCGAAAGAGAGAAACACACGCAAGGACTGAGTGTCTAATAGCGAGTTCGAACCTTTCCGCTGTTGTCGAGGAGCATTTTGTCCCACTTGGAGAGCTCGAGAGCCTGCTTGCGGAAGGTGATTGTTTGGTCCTCCAACTCGCGGCCCCACATGTTCATGATCTCTTCGAAAGTCTTGTTCTTCAGCGCCGCAGTCACCTCTGTGCGACACACACACGACACACACACAAGATGATGGTGCATCAGCATCTAAGACTTACGGCAGCGCGACTCGCGTTTCTTGTTCTTCACACGAATGAGAGTCTCACGTACGGATTTCCTTAGCTTTGGCCGAGGTAGGCTTGGCGGTCTCTGAGGAGAGAAAACACAGCAACACGGGCAGAAAGAGAGGCGAGGTCATTGATTCAACTCACAAGACATTCGTGTGAACAAAAGAGAAGTACCCTTGCTTGGCGTGGCTGCCGCAGTCGTAGCCAGCCCATCGAAGCTGAAGGAGGTGGGCGCGGTGGAGGTCGAAGCCGACGAAGACGAGGAAGATGCCGCGGCGGAGCCCGCTCCCCAGCTAAGTCCCGCAATTCCGCCTGTAGTGGTTGAATCGGTTGCGGCCGATGACGTGGACGCCGCCGAAGTGGCGGCAGGCGCAAAGAGCGATCCGCCCAGGCTGAATCCGCCTGCAGCGCCAGTCGTGCTGGTGGCGCTGTCAGTCGTGGACGTCGACGGCGCAGCGCTGGTGGTGCCAGCGGCTGTGGTCCCCGCGCCAAAGCTGAACGAGGTGCTGGGCGCCGAGGTCGCAGCTGCGGTGGTCGATGAGCCGGTGGCGCTGCTTGTATCGGTGGCGCCGCCCAGGTTGAACGAGAAGCTGGTCGAGGGAGCGGCGGTCGATGCTGCCGCAGGCGCCGAGGCGGCAGTGGTCGAAGAGGAGGTCGCACCGCCGAGGCTGAACAAAGGAGCGGCGCTCGTCGTGGTTGAGCCTGTAGTCGCCGCCGCAGGAGCGAAGCTGAAGCTCGTAGTCGAAGCCGGCGCTGCCGTGGCGGACGTCGCCGCTGGGGCGGTGCCGGCGCCACCAAAGCTGAAGCTGGGCGCAGCGGCCGCAGTAGTGGTCGCAGCGGCAGGGGCCGTCGTGCCTCCAAAGCTAAAGCTAGGCGCGGCAGCAGCGGTAGTAGTCGCACCGGCGGCAGGAGCTGCCGTGGTACCTCCGAAGCTGAAGCTGGGCGCGGCGGCAGCACCAGTCGAGGCACCGCCAGCAGGGGCACCACCGAAGGAGAGCGAGAAACCACCGCTGGCCGGAGCAGCCGCAGCAGCGGGGGCAGCGGCAGAAGGAGCTGCGCCACCGAAGCTGAAGGCCGAGGTTGAGGGAGTAGCGGCAGCAGCTCCGCCGGTGCCAGCGGCCGCGAGGGCACCAAATGAGAATGAAGGGGCGGCGGCACCAGTGGATCCATCACCGCCACCGAACGAGAAGCTACTCCCGGCAGTCCCGGTCGTAGATCCAAAGGTGAAGGCTTGATGCGGAAGAGGGGGTAGATAATGGAGTGAGAAAAATGCAAAACAGAAATTCAACGTAGGGCCACCTAGTAAGCCGTGGCACGACTACTACCCAACAAAGGGGAGAGAAGGAGCTTGGCAGCATACCCATTGATGTGATGCGGCAGGCCTGCGATGCGTCTACACGAAGATGGATTCTTCTGGTCCTTGGCGCCAAAACTGCAGCTGCATTGGTCAAATTCCACACAGTGTGTGTGGAATGTTGCCAGCATTCTTTCATGTATGGGAAATTTTCGCAGGCCAGCGAAAGAAGGTCTGGGCCAACAAAGAAAGTGAAAGCAACGAAGGTTGGCAGGTCACTAGATGGTGTCTGCGAGGATTTCTTCAACTGCTGCGCATTGAAACGCTTTCACATATTTCGGTCGCTGCATTGATAGATCCTATATTTTTTTATTTATTTTGTTTTTAAAAGAAACAAACAGAAGATGGAGTGGTTGGGGCGCACGATTTGGCCCAACAAAGGCTGCAACGAGGGGAGCGGCCTACCGCCCGGCTTCAACAACGCCAAGCTGCAACACAACAAGATGGACCACCTCTACGAGCTGCGCGACCTCATCCAAAACAACAGCCACCACATACGCGCCGTCGTCGTAGACCGCCGGTCCGCTACCTCTTCCTCCTCTGCATCGCCTTCCTCTACACCAGCCCACGGGCCGCGGCTCTACTCGATGCTGCGGGTGCTCAAGGCCGGGCAGTGCGAGGAGGCCTGGCTCCAGTGCCTGCGCGAGGCCGTCCAGGTCCACCAGCGCATGGCCGACCACCCACACATCGCGCGCCTCCGCCACGTCTACGAAGACGACGAAGAGCTCTGCGTCATGTCCGATCACTTGCGAGGTACCTTTCTTTCTTTCTTTCTTATTTATTCTAAGAATCGGGTGTGTGCGGTGTGTGCGGTGTGTGCGGTGTGTGCGGTGTGTGCGGTGTGTGCGGTGTGTGCGGTGGGTCTTACTGAATTGTGAGTGCGCAGGAACGAGGCTCTATGATGAAGTGCTCCGTAGAGGCCGGTTCAAGGAAGCCGAAGTTATACCTCTGGTGGTACACGTCCATTTTCGTCTCTTTCTCTGATTTATTTTAATTTATTTTATTTCTAAGTTTATTTATTTGCGTTGGGACTCACTTCCACGGTGGTGGGTGTGCACGGCACCAGCAACAACTGCTCTACATTGCGACGTGCCTGCAGAGCCATGGGGTGGGTCTGGCCATCCGCCCCGACGTCGTGTTCATGGAGAACGCGAGCGTCGACGGAGACGCAGCCTCGCCGCGCTACTCCCTCTCGCTTCCCGATCTCTTCCTCATCATCGCGCAGAACATGTACAACAAGCAACAGCTTCACTGCGCGAACACACAACACACAGACGCACACGCATGACACACACGCGCGCGCGCACACGCACACACGACACATGACACATGACACACGCGCACACCGCACACACGCATGACGCACGACCAGTGATGAGAGACTCAATTGTTGATTGATGGGATGTGCGCAGGGCCAAGGAGCGAAACGTGGACACCAACGGCTTCAGCGACATGTCGGCGCCGCTGTGCTACACCGCGCCCGAAGTGCTGCAAATGGAGCGGTGCGGCGCCACCTACTCCACCTTGTCCGCAGGCAACGCAGCAAGCGACGCGGCCGCTTCGCAGGGCGAGTCTGCTGCGTCATCAGCGGCGGTCGCCGCTGCCGGCGTCATGGACGGCTCGCCCGGGGCGCGTTCCATGTGGGACACGTCGAAGAGCGACGTGTGGCAAATCGGCACGATCGCGTTCATGCTGCTCTCCGGCGGTGTGCCGTCGCATCCCTACTTTGCCGCCGCTGGCAGCAGCGCCGCCGCCGAGTTTGCGCTCCGTCGCGACGACATGATGATCATCGCGAGTACGGGCGCGGAGGCGATGACCATCAGCGAGCCGATGATGTCACCAGGTCGCGCCTGCACCTCGCCGCGGCTCGATTTCACCGGTGACTGTTGGCTCGATGTGTCCGAATCCGGTAAGTCGTAATCTGCTTCTTCTTCTTCTTCTTCTTCTTCGTTCACTGACCACGCAATCGTCAATCGCTGGTGGTCTGCTTCAGCCAAGTGCTTCCTGGTGAGCCTGCTGGCCAACGACCCGGCAAAGCGGCCAACGGCCCGGCAGGCCCTGCGCCACCCTTGGCTGGTGCGCTGTTCCCTTCCCCTTCTTGACTTGTGGAGACCAGGTCGGTGCTCGTTTGACCTGAATTGACTAAGCGTTTTATGTTTATTATATATATATATTGTATATATGGACCATGTTTAGTGCGGTGGCGCGATGATGATGTTGGAGGACATATGCGTCGATACGATCGTGGATCACGTGGACGTGTTGCCCGACTACGCCGAGCGACTGCCCAAGTTTCTCGTGAAGAAGATCACCACCAACACCATCAACTACCGCGGTACCCTCCCGCCGCACCGGCGACGCCCCGGCGCTTGCGTGTCGTCGACAGAAATCGAAGCCGTGGCCGTGGCCAGTGACACGTCATCAACGGCGCTGGTGGACTCCAGCGCCGGCGCCGGCGATCTCGGCCTGGGCGACCTGGTGGCCGAGCTCATTCTCAACATTCTTTCGTTTTTGCCGCACAACGACCTTCTGCGCGTGGGCCAGGCCAGTCGGCACCTCTACGAGCTGGCCTCAGACAACTTTCTGTGGAAGCGCCTGTGCCTCGCCACCATCAAGCGGGACCAGGGCCACGCCGACCACCACCACAACCGCGACCGCGACCGCGACGGCCACGATGGCGACGGAGACGGCGATGACCGAACGGCAGCGCCCCAGCACTTCGCTGAAGATCAGGTCAAGCAGATTACGTACGAGAGCATCGAGGCCCAGTCGGCGTCGTCGCCGCTGTCGTCGCCGCCGCCGCTGTTCCTGTCGGCCTTCAAGCGGCGGCGGAAGAACACGAACAGCAGCGGCGGCGGCGGCGGCGGCAACAGTGCCGGCGGAGGGGGGAAGAAAAAGGCCCACGGCAAGGGGCGGAATTCGGACTATGCCAGCGCTCTACTCGCCAGCATGGACAAGTACGTGTGGAAGTACTTCTTCTTTTTCGGGCTACCCTGCCGATGGAACTTCTCTTGGTACGCACACACGCACACGCACACGCACACGCACACACACACGACACACGCACACGCACACGCACACGCACCACCGCACACAGCGCGATGCACTAACATGGTCATTTGTCGCGGTATCAGGAAACATCAAACGATAGAGGCCGTGAACGGGCGCATCAACACGGCGAAGAAAGTCGCACCCGAGCTCTGGTGCGCTTCCGGTTCACTTTGGTCGCCGCGCGCCGTGCGTGTGCGGTGTGTGTCGTGCGGAATTATAAGTGAACAGGCGCTCACATGAATGAATGGAATGTGCAATGGGATGGGGTGGGGTGGGGCAGGTGTACGGTGCTCGGAGGTCAGCTGATGCGGAAGGGCACGCACACGTGGACCGTTGAAATCACGCACGCGGCCAACAGCCCGGGCGACATCATGGTCGGCGTGTGCATGTACGGCTTGGTGCTCGTCATTTATTTGTCTGGTGGGCTTCTGTCTCACGCTGTGTGCGTGTGCGTGTGTGCGTGTGCGGTGTGTGCCTTCGCCAGGGCGGGCATGGACGTGTCTACAAGCCCGAGCTGGTTGTCTGACAACGCCTGGCTGTACCACATCAACCAGCGCAGTATTTACCACAAGGGTGCGTGCAACCATACTGAACATGTGTGTTACATTACTGAACATGTTAGTTACAGACTATAAATTAATTCAATTCAATTCGGTTTATTTGTGTTTTACTTGGTTTGGTTTGGTTTGGTTTGGGTGGTGCGTGCGGGTTTCAGGCGTGTCCACGCTGGCAAGAATCCAATGCGTTCTGCAAGGAATCGACGTGCGATTGATCGCCTGCACTTTCAACATTGACGAAGGCACCCTCGCCATTTCAATCAACGGTACCCCGCACGCACACGCACACGCACGACCGCACACGCACGACCGCACACGCACACACAGGACTGAAAGCTGGAGTGGTGCAGATCACGACCAGGGCGTGGTCGCACACGTGCCGACGGTGCTCGCGGACGGCCGCAGCGTCGCGTCAGTTGGGTTCTACGCAGCGGTGGACCTCTACAACGCCGGCGACGCCGTCACCCTCCGCTCCTTCTCCTCGACGCCAACCACCGCCACCACCACCTCACCCCTCACCGCAGCAAGCCAGGCCGCCGCCGCCGGCAGCACCACCACCACCAGCGGCAAGCCCGGCAAGGACCCGCTCTCCCCAGGTGCGTGTGCGGTGTGCGGTATGTGTGTGCGGTATGTGTGTGCGGTGTGTGTGTGCGGTGTGTGCGGTGGTTAAATGGGGGGGGGGTAATAGAGGTGACGCGGACAAAGACGGAGAAGCGACGGCTGGACATGTCGGTGTCGGGCAGCCTGATCGGCGACAACGGCCTCCAGACCGTGCGCGTGACCAAAAAGTTCTGGAATTCGAGGAAGACCGTCAACTTCACGTGCTCCCTCACCCAGGCCCTCTTCCACCCGGGCAGCCAGATCGACCTCGCCGGTACACGCCCGCACACGCACCGCCGCACACACACTGATATTTTTCGCACCTGCTCACGCGCGTTGTGTGTCGTATCGTGTCGTGTCGTGTCGTGTGCGCACGCAGTGAGTATCGACAATCGGTCATCAAAGACGATTCGGTGTCTGATCATTTCGTTCCGGGGCGTGAAGGGCAAGAAGGCGGTCCCGCTGGGCTACTACTCCCACACCAGCTTCTCGTCGACCGAGGGCACCATCTCGTTCCCCATCGAGGGCCGGCGCAGGGAGGAGGGCACCTTTGCCTTCCGCCTTCCCTCCAGGCTCCACCTCTTTCCACCACCATCTTCACTTTCATCATCATCATCTTCTTTTTCTTCATCATCATCATCGTCATCGTCATCTTCATCATTGTCGTCTTCATCATCGTCATCGTCGTCTTCTTCTGCATTGATGCAGCCGCTGGTCGACAGCTACGAGCTCCACCTGGAGCTGCCCATCCGCGGGCACTCCTCGCTCAAGGCCGTGCTCCCGCTCCTTCACATCCAGGGCTATCGCACCTCCGCTTCGCCCACCACCAGCACCACGACCACCAGCAACGAGGCCTAGCCACATGCAACAGCTTTTGACAAAAAAGAACTCACAATTATTGTGTTTGTACATCATTGTGTGTGTTGATGATGTTGATGATGTTGGTGTTGGTGTTGATGATGTTAACGTTGGTGTTGTTGATGTTGATGAAGTTCAAGCTTGGCGAGCAGCAAAGCGAGGGGATCGATTGGCTGCGGTGGTACGAGGAGGTAGGCCCGCGTTTCGAGGGCCGCCAGGGTCAATCGAATTGTCGAGAGCCCGAGCTGATCCGCAGCGTCGCCATCACCATCCGCCACGAAGAGCCGCCTCATCCGCGTGCCCCACAGACCAGGCCAAGGAACCTCAATGCTCGCCGTCACTGGTGACATGAAAGCAGCAACAGCCAACATCAGCGCTGCTGCCTCCACTACGAGAATGGAACGCATGGAATGCATGTAAATTCGATGATCGCGCGAACCTGTTTCTTCGCGCGTGTTGGCGACGAGGAGGAGAATCGCTCCGTCGCCCGACCCATTCGTCCACGCCCTGATATGCACCCCGGCGCTCGACGCAGAGATCTGATCGCCGGCGCACGCAGGGGCGCCAACACAAACCAAAGGCGAGCCTTAGAGGTCCGGAATGGGGTGGAGGGCCAAGGGGGTGGGTGGCCGCGCGGTACGTACCTCGACGCCGCTCTGGCTTCCGGCAGCGATGATGAAGGGCGCCAGCGTTTGCAGCACTTCGCGGCACAGGCGCCCGATCTCTGCCTCCAGGGCCGTGGCGTCATCACCGTCGCCTATCGGATACAACCAATAGAATATTCCCTGCGTGTGGCGTGTGCGGCGTGTGCGGTGGCGTGTGCGGTGGCGTGTGGGCATTACGGGCGAAACACGCTCATGGTGGTGATACGGACGGTACGTTGGCGTCGTGCATGAGTGCGAGATAGGTCATGAGCCGGATCTCTTGCGGAGTGGGCAGCCGCGACCAATGATGTTCGCCCCCAAACGCCTGCAACACTGGAATCAACACCGTTAGCTCCAACATTACAATCCGCAACACGCACGCACACGCACGTACGCACGCACGCGCATGACGAGATACCTATCCAGATGGGCATGCGATGCCGAAGCGCAGGCGGCCACGACCTGCGGTAGTGGTCCAGTCGATGGGCCACGTCGGAGGGACGACCCTCGCACCCGTCACAGCCGCACACACCGAACGTGGCATTGCACCGCGTCGTGTCAATTCCTACGGTCGCGAGGGCGCGCATGAGGACACGACACACACGACACACGACACGCGCGCGCACACGACACGCACCAATGGGGTAGACGTCGGTCATCATGATGTCGGTGGCGTCGAGAAACGATGGCGAACTGTCGCGGCAATTCAGCACCAGCGACACGGGGTGGCGCGGGTCGAGCCTTTTCACCAGCCGATACGCGGCCACGGCGAGTGCGGGGTCGTCGCCAGGACCGTCTGGCTCGTCTGCGATGTACCTGCACCGCGCTCGGTTGGTCGACACTCCAACACACGACACGACACGACACGACACGACACGACACGACACGACACGACACCACACGACACGACACGACACACGCAACGGCTCTGGTAACGAACCATGACAGCAAGGCCGGGTGACCTCTGTAGGCCTCCACCTCAAGTTGCACCTTCATAAACCCGACCCAATAAGAAAGAACGAAGAAGAACGAAAACGAAGAAGAAAGAAGAAGAAGAAAGAGATGAGTGAAAGGCGATGAACCTCAGTGGCGAGGGGGCAGCGTACCTGGGTGAGGTTCTTGTAGGAGTGGCGGAGGTCGTAGTGGAAGCGCAGGCCCAGCTGGTGGCACCGATCGAACCAATCGTGTAGCGAGTGGCCCGCGGGCGTGGTGGGCGGGTCGAACGGCGACACCGGGTGGATCACGTTGAACCCCGCCGATGCGACCTCGTCCAACAGCTCCAGCCCGCGCTCTGTCTCGCCTAACCGTCAGCGCTCGACACGACACACGACACACGACACACGACACACGACACACGACACACGACACACGACACGTACGCAGATAGCCGCCCCAGTTGTAGAAGAAGGCGAAGGGGAAGAAGGGCGTATGGTCGCCGCCCACCAGTACTGTGCCGCCGCGTGAGCCCGGCCGGCGGTAGTCGACCCGCACCACGCCCGCGGCGTCGTTGTGGTCGGTGGCCCGCACAAAGGCGAAGGAGTGGAGTCGCTGTTCGTCGATGACCAGCCACGTAGGAGCGTCGGGCGTGGCGAGGCGGAGGGACAGGATGAGCTGAACGTCATCGCCATCATCTCGATGGCCAAAGCTGAGCAGGGCGTCGAGATCGAACTCGACTTGATGCGTTTCGTGGCTTCGTTGAGGCGCTACACGGTGGCGTGTGGTGGCCAAGACCGCGCCGAGTGGGGTCTTGAGCTCAATCTGCAGCTCGAAAATCGCTGAGTCGAGTAGCGCGTCGATGTCGCTGTTGCTGGAGGATGCAAAGGAGAGATCTTTCTGCTGATCTTCGCCTGTCTCCATCAAAGATCTTGTTCGCTCGTGCGTCAATCGTTGTCGGCAAATGGGCAAGTCGAGATCGACCAGCACGATGCCGCTTTGATCGAAACCGAGCAGGGCCGGCACCACGCCCTGCCTGGCATGCAGACAGCCAGCGCCCCTCGCCACTCCATCTTCTACGCTTGTGAGTTGCTCTCCGTCTGGATCAGGATAGGGCTTGCCACACCAAAACGAGTAGCGATTCGATCCGTCGCCTTCAACGATGCTCGCCTGCACCACCACAGTACAGCTGAAAATGGCGAGTGCCAGTACCAGGTCCCAGGCCCCTCTCTTCCATCCCTTCATCGTAAATCATCATTTATTATATTTTTTTTATCATTTTTATTTCAAGTTATTTTCGTGCGCTCAGCAAAGATGAGCCAAGCGATGCGAGCATCAATGCCCATCACGAAGGAGGGCTACCTCGTCAAGCAGGGTGGCTTGATCCGCAACTGGAAGAAGGTGCAGCGCTGATCAATCTGCCGCAGTTTGCACTGTTCTCACTGTTTTCTGTCTTCTTCTGTTCTGGCTCGTCTGCATGCCTCAGAGGTGGTTCGTGTTGAAGGGCAACCACCTCTTCTACTATCCCGACCGCACAGTACCTTCCCCCCCCCCTTCTCCAAGCCTTTTTTCGTTCTTTTGTTTATTTGCTGCGTTGCGTGCTCATCATTCCTCGCTTTCGGCTTGTCCAGTCAGTCGAACCATCAGGTACGTGAGGCACCACATCGCACACACGACACACGCAACACGACACACGCGACACCACACACACGACACTGCAACGCACACACGATACGGACACGCCACACGCACATCGCACGCACATGTGACCTTCGCATCGCACACAGGCACGATCACGCTCGATGCCGATAGCAAGGTGAATGATGGCGCAGCAAAGACGGGGAGGAACGACTCGCTGGAGATCGTGGCGGTGGAGCGCACGTTCTACGTCTACAGCGAGGAGCCCAGCGAGATGCACGAGTGGCAGGAGGTCATCGCTGAGGCCATCGACCGACTCAACGGCATCACCGGACGAGGTCCCAACCATTCACGACCTTCCTTCGCCGGAACGCCGACACACAAGGTACGTTGCCGCGTGAATGGTGCTGCGTGCGTGTGGTGTGTGTGTCGTGAGTGTGCCGTGCCGTGCGTGTCGTGCGTTACGTTAATGTTCGCTGGTTGCTGGTCGCTGTAGATGGGAAAGAACGAAAGCGCTGCTGCCAAAGACGTGAGCATAGTGGTGAGGGGCATGCTATGCGAGTGCTGCGAGAAGAAAGTGAAAGCCATCCTCTCCGTCACTCCGGTACGCTTCCCATTTTCATCGCTCTTCCACACCCACACCCACACCCACACCCACACACCACAAACACACGCCAACCACACGCGATTCGTGCACACAACACCTACATTGTAGGGCATCGAGGACTACAAGATAGAAATGGAAGAGGAGAAAGTGAAGATCAAGGGCGCCATCGACACGCACGACCTCCTGGGCTTTCTTGAGGAGGCCGGCTTCCTGCCCACCCTCGTGCCCTCTTAGTGGCGCCTGTCTTCCCATGTTTGTTTTATTTATTCACCTCTGCTTTGTCAATGGCCTTGGTGTTGATGACCTTATGATCATGCTTCTTGCTGTGGGTTCTGGTCACCATGATGGCTGAAGATTGTGTAGCCCTGGCCAACGCTGCGCTACTCCAGATTGTTGACATCGCCTCGCTCAAACAGGAACCCTTTGAGTCCAGCTGCATGGGCGCAGGAGAGAAGGCTTCTGTGGAGGGCCTCCAGCGAGTCGCCCGATGGGTTGAGCGAGTGGTCCTTGTCAATGTCGATATCGGTCCAGTACTCAGACGTGCTGGGCACCCACTTCACCTGGTACACTATCTGGTGATGCCCAAAAAGGGAGTGTGAGTTGTGTTCTGTGGTCAGGTGTTGGGACAAAGATGAAGTACCTTCATCACAGACACCCACTCCTTTGTTTCAGGATTGTAGACTCTCATGTTGTGCTTACACAGGGGACTGATGGTGGGCAGAGCCTGATGTCAGACCAGGACTGTGTCGTTTGATAGAACATGCTCGGGATTCCTGGTGAAAAAGCAATTTGTGGTTCACCGAATTGAATCCCAAGTGATAATCATTTTCAGAGCAGCTGGCAGCCAGTGTTGGATCCAATTCTTTCACATCAAGAGGAGGCAAGAGAGGATGTTGGGCCTAGGCAAGAAGAAGGAGAAGAAGGAGGCGACGCCTGCCAAGGAGGTAAAGAAGGAGAAGAAGGAGAAAAAAGTGAAGAAGGAGAAGAAGAGCAAGAGCAGCAGCAAGAGTGCTGACAAGGCGGCGCCCGCCAAGAAGGTGAGGGATCCTACGGGCAAGGTCTTCCTGCCAGCTCTCAAGGAATGGCTGGCGTCATCCAAGAATTCCGAACAAATCGAGTACGTCAAGACCGATGAGGAAGATCACAGGTTCCACTTTACCATCGGCGATGAGAAGCTCAACTTTGAGCTCACCTTCCCCGTCGGTATGCATACTTTCCAATCACTCCCCATTCAATCGTTCATTCATTCGCAGCCAGGCCGGCTACACGCTCATTTTTCTTTTTTTCAATTAAATCTTTTCCATTAAATTCTGGGCGCTACTCGAATCAGAGAACAGAGAAATGCATGGTTGGGTGTGCACGCCTCTCCTCACACCCGTGCGATCTGATCTGCAGAGCCCGAGGACGTCTGGTGCGTGTCATCTGACGACCTCTCCGAGGACTGGGTCAACAACACGCTCGAGTTCGTGATGGAGTCCAAGAGCGTGGGCGAGGCGTTGATGTTCTGTACGCAGCAGTACTCTGCGCTCAGTGACGAGGAGCTGTCGGACGGCGACGAGGACGACGATGAAGGCGAGGAGGAGGAAGACGAAGACGACGGCTTCGACGACGAGTGCTTCAGCAAGGTCGAGAAGGGTCCCAAGAAGTCCTACACGCCCGAGCCGCAGATCGACACCAGCAAGTTCATCATCCCCGCCGGCTACGAGCCCGGTGGTGTTCAGGCCATCGTCCAGCAGTACCGCGACATCCTCAAGACCAGCCGCGAGGAGAGGGTCTGTCTCCCACCTCTCTATATTTCTTCTTCTTCTTCTTCTTCTTTACGGCCTTCGTCTACGTACCCGCAGCTACAACGTTAACTCTTGTGTTGGTGACAAAAATGATGATTGTTGTTTTTATCTCAGGGATATGACGCTGCGCCGCTCAACGACAACATCGCGCAGTGGGAGGTGAAGCTGTTCAGCATCCCCAAGGACGAGCCGCTTTACCAGGACATGAAGCAACTCGGCCTGGTGCCCGCTCACTCCTCTTCTCTGCGCTTCTCTCCCACGAGTTGTTCGTCAACGTGAGCTAGTCTTACCTTGTGCGCCGTATGCTGTCGTGTGTCGTGTGTGTCGTGTGTGTGCGTTTACAGGAGCACATCACGCTGCACGTGACCTTCCCGCCGAACTTCCCCTTCAGCCCGCCCTTCATCAGGGTGGTGCGACCCCGCTTCGCCTTCCGTACCGGCCACGTCACCCTCGGCGGGTCCATCTGTACCCTCATGCTCACCAACGACGGCTGGATCGCGAGTACGCCCATCTCCTTCTGTTATGTTGCGTGTGTCGTGCCGTGCGTGTCGTGTCGTGTCGTGTCGTGCGTGTCGCACAAGACTCACCAGAGGTTCTCGTTTTCTCAGCCTACCGCCTGGATCAAGTGATGGTGGACATTGCGGCCATGCTGGGTTCGGGAGGCGGCAGGCTCGATCTCTCCAATCGATCGGACTACACCGAGGAGGAGGCCATGGTGGCCTTCAGGCGCATGCTCGACACGCACGGCTGGAAGCACTGGAAGCACTAAGCGCGCGCTCCAGTCCATCACCGCCCAAGCTTGGCTCGTTCGCCCAGCGTGGTCACGATCGAGTTTCTTTCGAGCAAACAATGTTTTATTGATGTGAGCTTCGAGTGGTGTTAGTGGTGTTGCTTCTTGCTCGGCTTGGGCTTCTGGAGTCGGGGGACGACCATGAGATCGCCCAGCGAGCCCTTGAGCAGCTTCAGCGACGCCAGGTCCACCGGCAGGTAGTTGTTGGCCGGCTCGTCCATCGACAGCAGACCCATCATCTGCACTCGTGCCACCAACCATCAGTCAGAAAAAGAACGAAAGAAGTACGAAGAGCGAAAGAATAAGAACGAAGAAAGCGAAAGGGGACCTGATAGGCGGCGGCGACGAGTTGGGAGCAAAAGATGCTCCCCTGGTTGTCGTGCGCGTTGAACTTGGCGAGGGCCTTGATCAACTGGAACGGGTTCTTCTTGTAGGGCCGGCCCTTGACCTGTTCGATGAACTCGTAGAGCGCCTCCATCATCTCCTCCGTACGTTCCACGTGCAACCTACGTCACCATCACCATCACCGACATCAGCGCGTGTCGCATGTGTCCTGTTTTGTCGCGTGTTGCGTGCAGTGTGTGTCGTGGCCATGTACCTGCGCAGGGCAATTTTTGTGTCCTTGACGTAGAACTGGAGGCGTCGGGTGAGGTTGAACACCTGGACGCCGTCCATAGTGGCCTCGAAAAGGCGGAGGCCCGGCTTGTTCCGCTTCTTCACCACCAGCGCCGCATGGTCCCACTATTGTGTCGCGACAGCTCAGTAAGACTACACGCAACACACACAGCACACACAGCACACACAGCACACGCGCTCTTCAAGGGCTGCGTACTGGACTCCGGGTGGCGAGCTTGGTGCCCTGCATGAGGAGTCGGCTGCTGTCGAAGAGAATGATGTCGCCCACCTCCATGCGCAGCGGAAGCGGCGACACCGGCGGACCGTGCATACTCAGCATTCCCAACTGCACAGCACACGCGCCAACATCAATTTAGCGACCGCACACGCGCAACACATCGCATGCACACCGCACACGACACGACACGACACGACACGACACGACACGACACGACACGACACGACACACGCACGTGCGGCTTTTTGGACTTTTGGATGACGAGGTGGACGCTGCCCCACATTCCGAGCTCGGAATGCTGCGCCCACTTGTCGAGGTTCATCGACCTTTGTTCGGCGGCGTTGCGCGGGGCCGGCAGGTTGGCGTTGGGCCGCAGGTTGAGCCACAGGTCGTGCATGAGTCCGTCCTGCAGGTCGCACAGCGGCACCGACACGCTCCCCACCAGCCCGTCCCTCCTGCCGCCCATCGTGAAGTAAACCTGCGTGTGCGATGAATGCGTGCGGTGAGTGTGTGCGGTTGCGTGCGTGCGGTGTGTGCGGTGTGGCGCACTTCGACTTCGAGGTTGGGCTCGAGCTTGGCGCGGCACATGTCGAAGAAGGCCTGCTGGGCGGGGGTGCGGTCGCCCTTCTGCAGCTTCTTCCACCGCTTCACGAACTGGGCCTTGGCCGCGTTCCACTCCTCGCGCTGGGCCGGGTCCTGCCTCTCGCCCCGCGGCTGGATCTGGTCCCACAGCTTCCCCACCGACAACCGCTCGTACGCACTGTGCCGACATCGTCGCTTAGTGGCGATCTTGCGTGGTTAAGGTGGCGCCTGTGTGATGCGAGGTTAAGGTGGCGCAGCCGTACAAGGTGACGCCGTCGAGCCACACCGGGTGGTCGATCTCCTTTTTGACGGCGCGGGTGCAGTACGGGTAGCAGTGGTCGTCGACGTTGCCGATCGGAGCCGCGCCCAGAGAGCGCACCACCGACAGCCTGGCGTAGGGGTCGCCCAGGCTCTTGGCTGTTGTTTGGTTGGGTTGGTGGAGGGCGAGAGTCGGTCAGGTCAAGCGACATTCTATGATTCGTGATAGGCTCGATCGGGGGGGGTTCAAGGGGCGTCGCACCGCCGTAGATGGCCTGCAGGGCTTTCCCAGGGAAGGACAGCTCCGTGGCTTCGACCACTGCGCGCGAGAGCGTCAGCGTGAAGCACACTCAACGCACCACACACACAACACACAACACACAACACACTGCACATGCCATATGACACAGAGGGGGATGTGTACGTAGCACATCAACGTAGAGCCGCCGGGACGAGTAGGCCTTGCGGCCCTTCTTCTTTTTCTCTTTTCGCTTTCGCTTTTCGGTGCGGGCCGATGGCTCGCCGTGGTGGTCCCCGTCGGCCTGCGTCGTGGTCGTCGGGTCTGTCCGGGGCGTCCCGCCACCGCTGCTAGTCCCGCTGGACTCGGCCAACAACGGCTCGCTCGCGGTTTCGGCCCACTTCTGCCGCAGCGTCGCGATCGTGTAGGCCCCGACCAGCTCCTCACCCTCCTGCTCGCCGCGCACGCCTGTGCTGACGTCATCATCGCCGCTCGTTACCACCTGTGGCGGCTCGCTGTCGACAACAATGGTGACCGGTGGCGCGTCGCCGTCGGCGGCGGTGGCGGCGACGATGGGCGCAGGCGCGAGGGGTCCCCTAATGGTGGAGGTCGGTCGCCGGTTGGCGGCGATGAAGCTGGCGCTCCGCTGCACGGACGAGGAGGGCACGGCGAGGCCGCCGAGCGCGAGTTGGCGGTAGTTCGGCCCGTGCTGCTTGATTTGCTCGGGCGGCACAACCAAGATCTGAATGTTTGTCGTGGTGTGCGTGTGTGTAGTGTGTGTCGTGTGTCGCGTGTGTCGCGTGTCAGAAAGTAGGTTAGGGGTCGAATCGAACAGTGTGCGAGAGTAAGTAGCAGGTCACCTGGTGTCCCTCGGCGCGAGTTTGGCGTCGGGCAGCGCTCCAGTCTGGGACGACGGTCACCTCCTCCAGGGGCGATTCGTCGGGCTCGCCACCGTCCTTGTCGTGGCTCTTCCGTTCCGCCTCGTCGTCACCGTCGTCATCTTCTTCCTCCTCGTCGTCATCATCGTCATCTTCTTCCTCCTCCTCCTCCTTCCCCTCCTCCTTGACTTCTTCTTCTTCTTCTTCTTCTTCCACTGCGGGAAGCTCCCCTGACTCCATTTCCTCCTCCTCTTCCTCCTCCGACGAAGACTCATCGTCGTCATCGTCGTCTCCATCGACGGTGATGATGGTCGGGTCGCTTTCTTCGTCATCGTCGTCATCGTCGTCATTGTCGCCCAACGCGCTCGCCTCGCTCCCTCGGGTTCTGGGCGCGTCGAGCAGGTTGCTGAGGAATACGGGCAGACACCCGGAGGTCATGCAGATCGTGCCTCCCCGTGATCGTCTGGTCATTATGACCTCCTCTTCCTCTTCTTCTTCCTCTTCATCGCCACCACCATCGTTGCCCTGCTCGACTGCGTCGTTCTCTTCCCCGCCCACGCCACCATCGTCTGCCGCCTCGTTCACGCCAACACTGTGAGCGGTGCTGACGTCAGCAGCGGCGGTAGTCGCTGCGAGTGGCTGCCGACTTCGCATGAAGCCGACGAGCGGGGCGTCGCGCATGCGCTGGGGCGTCTGGAGGCCTTCCAGGCCTCTGGTCAGCTGCGCGTTCACGTTCGTTCCTTCCCTGTGGTTGTTGGTGGCGACGGCCTGGTGGCTGGTCAGGCTCCGCTGGGCCACGCTCACCTGCTTGGAGACCCGGTACCGGTCGCCCAAGCTGCGGTGCTTCTGGGCTCGGATGCCCTTGTCGACCAGCCGAGCGGCCGACGCCGACCCCCAGAGCGGCCCTCGCCTTTCGCCAGAAGTCGGCGCGAAAGTAGAAGTCGATGCTATTGACACGGTTGAAAGAGATGATGCAGTTGATGATGAAGTCGATGTTGGCGAGTTGGTGGTGGTAGTAGTGGTGGTGGTGGTGGTGGTGATGGAGACGGCAGGCGATGCTGTGGTGGGAGGCACGGCGGGGGAGGCTGGGGTGGGCAGCAGAGGTGTGGGCTGGGGGGGGAGTGAAGATGGCGCGTCTGTGCCTTCGCACGCGATGGCCACTTGGCCACACCCAGGTAGGTCAGCGGTAGGTTGATGGTGGTTGTTGTTGTGAGAGTAGTTGTTGGACATCGCTCATAATCGTCTGCTCCTGCTGGTCTTAATCCTCTTTTTGTAAACGGCAGCTCCTTTTCCTTTTGCTGCGATTAAATACAAAATAAGAAAATCAAAAAATAATAAGTAATCAAAATAATAAGTAATCAAATCCGACGTGCACGACAGCCGTACGATCAAGTGGATTAACTGTAGGTGATGTATCCTTATAAATCCGAATTAAATTGAAGATTGAACGGGGGTGTACGATGCAAAAGGAATGGTGCCGGGTAGCTGCAGGCATGGCTGTTCTCCGTGGCAAACAGGAGTAACCACTACAACGCAGTCCACCGGAAGCCAAGCGCAAGTCGGTTCAGTTGATTTATCTCTTTATTTTATTTTTATTTGTTGCTCGCCTTGTTCTCTTAGGTCCTGGTCGTGTCTAGCAGGTCGTGCACGTCCTGCGCCCACTTGCCGCAAGCCGCGGCGCAGTCCTGGCAGTGGGTGTTCTGGTGCTGGCTGCAGTGATCGGAGCAGCTCTTGGCGATCTTGGCGCTGAGGGCCACCACCTCCTCACAGTGCGAGGTGCGCGAGGCCAGGTACTTGAGCGACACCTCCAGCATCGTGGCGCACGAACCGCAGTGCTGACACACGATGCGCCGTTCAAGTCACTCACATGAACATTGACATTGGCATTCACCCGAGTTCATCATGTAATGGAAACAAAGGAGGCCTACCACGACGCAGTTGAGGCCCTCCTCGGTGGCCTTCATGGCGCACAGGGTGCAGGCGCGTAGGGCTTCGGAGCAGCTGGCCATGAGCCGCTTTTGGTGGTTGAGGTCCTCCAGGAACTCGATCATCTTCTTCTCGGACGTGCTGACCGGACACTGATGCATGATCATGGCCGGCGAGCTGGGTCGGCGTGTAGTTGCCATTGTGTTGTTGTAGTGGTCTGGCGGTGTGTGGATGTGCTGGTGACTTAAAGAAAGTTGAACAAAGAGGGCCTCGCACCCAAGCTGGCTTGGTGCTCTTCGCGCCTAGTCGACATTCTTGACGTGCAACCAACTACTCCTGCTGTCGAAAAGTCGCCCCACTTGGGTCCAACGATTGGGTGATTTTCGGCGCCCAGTTGGCGGTCAGGAAACCTCGTAGGCCGAGTCGGTTGGCACATGAACTGTGTTAGCCTCCTTGCGATTTGTTCAAAGAAGCCAATACGTCCGAATACCGGACAATAAAAGCCCGCGAGGAAAATGTGCGTTTATGTCGACACACTTCTTCGCGAAACGGGAGGGTTGGCCAAGCCCTGAGCGTGACACGAAGCAAGCGACTTACGCAGCTAATCGAAGGATCTCTCTTTCTTTTCGATCGCAAACGCGCCGCGTTACATCTTTTTTGCGCCCCAACCAAGCCACCTGCAGCCCCGATCGACATTTGCAGATTTTGTCATTAGGCATTTGCAAGGAGGTCAAGAGACGAAGAAGATAGACGATCGATGGAGCTGGGGGAGAATGGAGCTGGGGATGGAAGCGGTAAGAAATCAATAGTGGTAAGCGCACCTATGAAGGCGACCCGCAAGGCATCTCTCAGGCCCGAGAAGAGAGAGAAGAAGCAGAAGCAGGCCAGTCGAACGAACTCCTCCAGCGCCGTGGGAAGGAAAAAGGAGAAGGAACCTGGAGATGATGATGGAGACAGCAGCGATGACGATCTCTCGGGGCGTCTGCGCTCGCCGCGCGTCAGCGGCGGTTCCGGCCCGGCACTCACGGCCTCCTACCCCTCCGACAAGAAGGCGAGCGGCGACAACATGCTTGCCGTCCCATCACTGTCGCTGTCGAAGAGGAAGCGAACGATCTCGAGCTGCGGCAGGGGTGAGCTCGCAGGGCAGGATGAAATCCAGGATCGAGGCCTTAACGCGCTGAAGCGATCGCAGGACGATTCGGACATCGTGACGCGTAGCAGGTCGCCGGTCAGTCCTCGCGAATCGATGCGCCCCCTCACCAGCCGCGCGCAAGCCGACGAAATCGAGAGTAGCAGCAGCGACACCGAGTCTCTAGGCGAGGGCGATCTCTCGAGGGGCAGCTCGGATGTGGGCGACATGTCGCACATCCATCTGCCTCCGTCATTCACCGATCTCAGCCGAGTCGAGCGGGTAAGCGTCAATGTCGTTCATCTGCTCTACAACCCGCGCTCGGGCAACAAGGCCGGCGAGAAGGTGATGCGAAAGGCTCGAAAGCTGCTCGAAGAGAAGTACGGCAAGACGGTGCACGTCACCAAGCTGCAGTACAAGGGTCACGCGGAAGAGCTCTGCGAGACGATGAGCCTCGACGGCATCGACATCCTCTGCAGTGTGGGCGGCGACGGCACCTTCCACGAGTGCACCAACGGCATCATGAAGCGCATGCTCGCCGACGGCGCCGCTCGCATCCCGCCCATGGCCCTCATCGCCGCCGGCACCGGTACACTACTACTACTACTTCTTTTTCTCCTTTTGTCTTCTATTCTTCTCTTCGCATCATCATCAACAGCTCTACTCACGCGTAGCTCACGTCATCATCGTCTCCCTCTCCGTTTTCTTCTTCTTCTTGTCTCTACACAGGAAACTCGTTCATGCACGAGCTGGGCTACGCGAAGCTCAAGGACGCCGTGCACCACATCTGTCGAGGTACATCACGCACGCACGCACACACGCTCTACATAGTCTTCTCTTCTTCTTCTTCTTCTACGCTCGCCTTGCCTTAGCTCAGCTACTACTGAAGAACACTGACAACAACTCTTGCTTCTCCCTTCGAAGGCATGCACGTCCCGATCGATATCGGCAAGCTCACCTTTGGCGATGGCACCAGCTGCTACTCCTTCAACTCCATGCACTGGGGCATGGCCTCGAAGGTCGCCGTCACCGCCGAGAAGCTCAGGTATGGCACCACACCATCACCTCCTCCGAAAATAGCTCCCATCTCTCCCCGCGCGCTTCTTTTCTTTGTTTTCTCAAAATTATTATTATTTGAAAAAAATATCCGCCGCGCGCGTGGCACTCGCGTGTTTCAACGAACGAGCGATAATAATTGTTCGTTTCTATTCTTATTTCAGATTTGATATTATTTGTTACTGTAATGCGACAATTAATTATTAGTAATATTATTGTTATTTGTACTGATGAATGAACTCAGGTGGATGGGTACCGCGATTCGCTACACGACGGCTGCCCTGATCGAGATGATGAAGGGCAAGACGGCGCGCGCCAGGATCACCATCACCGACGCAGACGACAACGTGATCACCTACGATGAGGTGCCCTTCATCTTCATCATCATCATCATCATCATCATCATCATCATCATCATCATCTTCACCATCTTCTTCTTCTTGGGGACCTGCGCTGGAGTCATAACACAGGCTCAACTCACACATAACCGTTGCGCAGGAGTTTGCGCTGGCCATCGCGAACAACATCATCACGGCTGGCAAGGGCATGAAGATGGCGCCGACTGCCAAGCTGGACGACGGCCTCATCGATCTGTTGCTCATCACCACCGCCTCCACGCTGGACATGATGACCATCTTCAGGAAGGTCTACGACGGCTCTCACACGAGTACGCCAACTCATCACCACACACACACCACACACACCACACCCCACACGCGCTGAAGGAATGTGAAACACAACAGAACTGCCGCACGTCCGGTACATCAAGGTGAAGAGCTTCTCGATCGTGCCGTATCGAACCATCAACGAGGACAAGCGGGAACGGGAGAAGCCGAGCAAGTCGGGCAGCAAGTCGACCGAGCAGCTCTCCATCCAGCCGGAGGGCAGCAACAGCAGCAGCAGCAAGAAGAAGGCCGGCGGCGACAAGAGCGACAAGGCGGACGCGGCCGAGCAGAAGGCGAACAGGAGAAGGAGAAGGGCGAGGGAGGGCAAGCGAGCGCAGCGGAGGAGTCGGGCAGCAGCGGCCACGGCACCATTGAGGAGATCGAGGAGCTGTTGGACGTCGACGGCGAGCTCAAGGGCTGCACGCCCTTCACGTGCGACGTCATCCCGCGCGCCCTGCGCGTCATTCTGTAGAGAAGGAGCGAGAGGAGAGAGAGAAAGAGAGAGTTAGCGACAAGGAGGAGAAGGAGCAAGCGAGGTTGGATGGCCGTGTGGGAAAAGATGAAGGCGCTACGACGAGCGAGGAGATAATTAACTACGAAAAAGGGGAAAGGCGTAATGGTTACCTGCTGCTGTTATAAAAAAAGAATAATATTTATTTCACCGCCAATAGATATTTTCTACATACTTTTCTTTTGGGAGTGTCCACGGAAATGCCGTCTTCTCGGAGCCATTCTGTCCCACAATCGCATGGAGAAGGGGGAGAGTACATAGGTCGGAGGGGCGGGAGGTGTTCGGTATCTTTGCGCTTGGGGCAAAACACTGTGAAGTGACCTAATAGGGATCAGGTGTTTTTGCTGGTTGAAAACTATATCCAATGCCCCGACTTACGACCTAACGGTCGGAAGTCAATTTTTGAAGCTCCTTCGGGAGTGCCCCCTCAATCAATGACAACAAAAAGACCTCCGACGTGTGATGGCGCACCCTCAGGAACGAGCACACCAAGGAGGAGAAGCTCACTTCGTCATTAAGCCCTGCCACTGAGGTGATGTTGTTGCTCTGCCGTTGTGAATAAATAAAAGATTTATGGCTGGTTCTTCAAAGAGAGAAAACGCAATTAATTGCTTATCAACCGAAGCTGCTGCGGGAGATCTGGGCTGGCGCGGCGGCTAGGGCAAAGGGCCGCACATCGGACAGCCGCCGGGGGGAGACCGTTGTGGTGGCGCCCGCTGTGGGCGTCGACGACGTAGTGCTACCGACCGGCGCGACCGTGGAGGTCGGCGCGGAGGGCGGCTCCCTGGGCCTCTTCTTGAGCAGCACGCGGGCCACGTTGAGGGAAGCGGTCGACTCGCTGCGGCCGGACACGTACGAGGCCGAGAGCTTGGCAATGAGGTCAAACTTCTCGATCTTGGCCTGCAGGTTGACCGCCGTCTTGATCAGGCGATCGGCGTTGATCGACTCCTTGTGCATGTTGTTCAGCATCAACATGATGCCCTCGAACCCGAGTGACTCCAGCCGGCCTGCGGTGGTGGTCAGACCAGAGTGCGAGTGCAGAATGCGAGCGAGGACTGTGTGGCGTGGAGTGGAGTGGAGTGGAAGTACCGGAGAAGATGGAGGTGAGTGCGAGCGAGACGGTGATCAGGGCGATGGTGCCCTCGTAGAAGAAGTAGTCCCACACCCGCAGAGACACGTGGAAGGGCAGACTTCGGAACATCGTCATCACCCACTGTGTGTGTGTGTGTGTGTGTGTGTGTGTGTGTGTGTGTGTGTCGTTGGTCGTGTCGTGTGATGGGAACCACAGTCAGCTCTCTGCAAGCTCTCCCTCTCTCTTCTCTCTCTCTCTACACAAGTGAATGGGTCTACCTTGGTGATGTAGGACGACGTCCTGATGCTCTGCTTGTGGAAGTGGTCGTGCAGGTTGGGCAGGAAGCACCGCATCAGCTGGTCCTGCAGGAAGAACATCTGTCGTTTCACGTGCCTGGTGAGTCTCTTCTTAACTCATCATTCTTTCGCCCGACGTCGTCGTTGCGTATAGCTGCCCCCCCCCGGCTACGGCTGGCGGCAGCAGTGTTGTGTGGTGGTGTGGTGGTGGCTGCACCTTCTTCAATCCGGGGAAGTCGGGTTTGTACAGGTCCTCCAGACCATAGCTCTGGATCATGCTGTCCAATATCCAAAACACCTCCTGCGCACACATGCCCGTATTAACTCGTGTGTCGTGTGTGTGTCGTGTCGTGCGTGTGTCGTGCGTGTGCGGTGTGTGCAGCGTAGTGATGGAGAGAACACATGAGGGGAGGCATGTACCTCCTCGTCGTCAATGTACATGAGGATGGTGCTCGTGATCTGGGCCAGGCCCTGCTTGTAGCCCACGAGCGGGTTATGTACACTGTAGGCCTTGAGTACCGCAAACAGCGAACGCTGCCTGTGTGCATGTGTGCGTCGTGTCGTTGTCGTGTCGTTGGTCGTGTCGTGTCGTGTCGTGTGGTCGTGTCGTGTCGTGGTCGTCGTTGTGTCGTGTCGTGTCGTGTCGTGTGCATGTTTTGCGTGAGTTGCATAACATTGCATTGTATAAAGAAGTAAAAACACGTTAATTAAAACGATCACGGGCACGGCGGGAGCGTGCTTGGGTCCGTATCGCTGGCGGTAGAAGATGTGGTCTCTGTCCGTCTGCTCGATGTCCATGTCGATCTGCTTGATGTACTTGGAGCCCTGCCGCCACTGCAACCCGCCCACACCATCAGCCTCCATGTCTGTGTCGTGTGGGTCGTGTGGGTCGTTGGGAGCTGTACGGGGTCAAATATGCTGCCGCCTTGCCGGGCGCGCAGCTCCTCGGTCTGGGCGAGGCGGGCCCACACCTGGCCGCGTAGTCGATTGGGGATGCCCTTGAGCACGCGCTGGCGCAGCTTCTTCTGAAACTTGAGGTCCTTCGGCGGGCGCTCCCAGTCGGCCCGCCCGGCCTCGGCCTGGTCCCACCGCTTCAGCATCTCCTTCCACTTCTTCTCCCGCCTCACGTCTCTCAGCTCCATCCGCTTCGACGCCGTCTGCGCAGACCACACACACGTCAGCACATCACCGCACACGCACAACCGCACACGCACACGCCAACCGCACACGCACCGCACACGCACGCACAACCGCACACGCACGGGCGCGTGCCTTGGGTCGAACGCTGGCGCGCGTGGGTACGGTGTTGGACGACGAGGAGACGGATTGGTTGCACGAAGAGGAGGAGGAGGAGCCGCTGGCGGTGGTCGGCGGGGCGCGGGCGCGGGTGGTCTCGCGCACGACCCAGCCGAAGCGGTCGTGGGTGGTCTCGGCCAGAGCCTTGTTCTCGTAGCGCTGCGACGAGGTGGGCACGGGCGGGCACTGGTAGTGGAGCAGCGCGTCGGCGCCCTCCTTCATCAGTAGGCTGGCGCACTCGGCATGGCCGTGCTGCGTCGCCAGGTCGTACGCCGTCTTGCCCTGCGCGCGAGCGCGTGTGATCATCAGCACATAGGAGTCGCGTGTGTCGTGCGCGTGTGTCGTGTGTGTGTGCGTGCGTCGTGCGTGCGGTACCTTGTCGTCGACACGATCGAGGGTGGCGCCGGCAGCCAGCAGGGTCACGCACACGTCCGTGCGGCCCCACCTGCACGCAAGGTGCAGCGCCGTTCGCCCTGCGTGTCGTGTTGCGCCACGTGTCGCGTGTCCAATCAGCAAACAGATAACATTTAGTGTTTTGTTATATATAAACATAAGTGATATATAAACATAAGTTAATATATATAATTCAGAATTCAGAATCGCGTGTGATGTACCCATCATGTTGACGATGTCGGGGTCGACCAGGCCGTCCTGGAGGAGCTTCGTGACGGCGAACAGGAAGCCCTTTGCCACGGCCACGTGGAGCGCGGAGTCGCCCTCCCGATTGGGCGCGTCGATCCACTGCCACGCAGGGATCTCGTCCCGCTCCCAGTCCACCACCACCCCCTCCGGCCTCCCGTCATCACCATCATCACTACCATCCTCATCGCCCTCTTCATCATCGCCGCCCAGGCCAGCGCGCCGGCGCGCCACCGCGTAGGACTGCTTGCGCTTGCGGCCCACGACGAGCTGCGCCTCGCGGCCGCCCGCGATGCCGACGCCGACGCCGCCGTTGTTCAGCAGCGCGGCCTTCTCGTCGTCGTCGTCTTCGCGGCGCTGGCGGTGCTTGACGCCGTAGTTCATGAGGTACTCGAAGACCTTGTCGCGCCGCTTGTGGGCCGGCGACAGGGAGGCGGCCAGGTGGAGTGGCGACCCGCCCGGCCCCGGGTTGCCGTCGGCGTCGTCGACCAGCAGCGAGGGGATGCGCGACAGCTGCGCCGCCGCCGCGGCAGAGGCCGACGCCGACGCTGCCCGCCTTCGGTGCCGCGGGCCACCACCGGTGTTGTGGGCGTCGAGCCTGCGCAGCACGGCGGCGATGGCACCCAAGCGCTGCTCGCGGATGGCCGTCTCGAGGGTCATGTCGCCCTCGTGAGACGGCTCGTCGTCGTCGTCGTCATCGTCATCTTCACCGTCATCTTCTTCTTCGTCATCGTCGTCGTCTTCCTCGCTCTCTTCGCTGTCGTCGTTGTCATCGTCTTCATCGCCGTCGTCGGCCCTGCAGGTGCTGTCCCCGCTGTCGGTCATCTTGCCCGCGGCCACCGAAGGCGAAGGCGGTACAAAGAGCAGCGCGCGGGGCATCAGCCCCGCCTTGCCGCGGGAGCGGGCCAGGTCGCTGCCGGCGGGCTTGGGCACGATGAACCGCTCGCCCGACATGCGCAGCATCTGCCGCAGGTCGCCCCGCTTCCGAGGCGACAACACGGCCGCGGCGGGCGACGCCGCCTCGTCGACGCCCGCATCCGCGGCCACGGTTACCGTCGTCGCAACGGCGCTGAGGCTGTCGCTGAGCGACCGGAGGCTGGGCTGGGACTGGGCCAGCGAGCTGGCGGGCCGCAGCGCGGTGGCGGTGGGGGTCGAGCTGCTGCTGCTGCTGATGCGGAGGCCACCGGCGGGGTAGACGTCGGTGGCGGACGAGGTGAGGCTGCTGCTGCCACCGGTGGCGGTCATGCTGCCGCTCGAGCTCGGTGAGGAGCTGCCGTCCAGCTCCGAGGCGCTGTCGGGAAAGACCAGCAGACCCGGCCGCTTCCGCATACCCACCGAATTGGTCCGCGAGGTTCGCCCCACTGATCGCACGTGTGTGCGTCATAGCACGACAAGCGACACGCGAATCAGTATTTAAGGAATGACACACACACACTACACATAAACCGAGTGAGAGTGGTGTACCTGTCGCGGACCCGAGCTTGCCATGGTGGATGAGGTTGGTGGTTTGCCTTTGCTGCTGTTGTTGGGCTTGCTGTTGTTGCTGCTGTTGAGCGAAGTACTTGTCGAGCAGCTCCTGGGCCGTCAGCGTCCTCCGCCGCGAGTGCCTGCCAGAACCCCCCCCCCAGTGAGCGACGACACGACACACGACACACAAAACGCAACACACACGCAAAACAAGGCACACGGCACACGGCACACGTACCTCTTGGAGACGGTGGAGCTGCGCGTGGGGGGTGAGCGCGCCCTCAGTTTGCTCCAGCGGCGGGCGCTCGATCTGGCGCGAGTTGGCCCGCCCGACCGTGGACGACGAGCCCATATGGCGCTGACGCTCTAGCAGCCGGGCAAACGCAGCTGACTCGCGCCGGTCGCCCAGCTCGGTCGCGCTGCTCGTCATCATCATCGCCGCCGCATCTGTCGATTCAGCCGCCGCAGAGAGACCGGGCGGCGGGCGGTAGGCGCTCAAGCTGGCGCTGCGCGACTGGTGCGACGGCGGCGGGACGTGGCTGTCGGAGGCGCTCATGCCCAGGCCTGTGTCGTCGCTCCGGTGGCGCAGCGGGGCAAAGCCGTCGCTGTGCAACATGGTCTGCGAGACGGGGGTCTTGGTGGGCGTGGCGCTGGCGCCCTGCGAGGCGGGGTGCCGCACGGCCTCCTTGGCCTCGGCGAGGATGACTGCCACCCGACCGATCTCGCGCTGCAGCGCCTCGCGCTCCTCGGCCTCGCGCTGGGCCGCCTCCTCGGCGCTGTACACGATCGCCGACCCGGTCGAGCTTCCGCCTCCGGCGTCGGTGTCGTCATCGCTGTCGCTATCGCTCTCGGCAGGCTTGCGATCGTTGGCGACGGCCTTGTGTGACTCGTCCGTGCTCTCTTTCTTGTGGTCGCCGCCGTTGCGCCGACGACGGTGACCGCGGTCCTCTTCGTCCTTCTTCTCCTTCTTCTTCTCCCTCTTTGGCTTCGTGTCCGCCGCATCGCGGTCGCCGCGGTCCTTGCTCCGCTTGGCTCTGCCGTTCTCGCCATCGCCGGCGTCCGTCGCTTCGCTCTTTGCTTGGACAGCGTTAGCGTCACCCCGCTTTCGTTCTTTCCTGTCGCCCCCACCGCTGTGGTCATCGCCTCGCTTTCGCTCTTTCCGCTCCTTGCCGTCTTCGCGATTACTCCGGCGGTCGCCGCTGCTGCTGCTCTCGCCGCTGCCGCTGTCGTCCGCGCCACGTCCGTCGCCTCTCCGGTGGCCGCCGCTGGCCGTAACGGAGGGCTGCTGGGGCCGCAGGCTCGACGTTCCGCGCGGCGTGCGGGCCTTCTCGGGCTGCGGCCCGCCGGCGGCGGTCACGAGGCTGAGCACGCTCTCCCGCTTGCCCGAGGCGCCCTTCGTGCCCACCGTCCAGTTCATGCGCAGCGTCGCCCGCTTGGACTTGTCCCGCGGCTCCCTCTTCGCAGGGGCCGGGGGTGGTGCGACCGGGTGGGCCGTCGCCTGGCTGCCACCGCCACCACCGCCGCCGCTGCTGCGGGTCCCATGCTCGTCGCCGCTGGCGGGCACGAATCCCGCCGCCCGCATATCGTCGCTCCTGCGTCGGTGCGCCCTCTCCGAGCGCCGCACGGCCAGGCTGCCGCCACTGCCCTTGGCAGCTTCCGCCTCGGTCGCTTCCTTGCCGCTGCTGCTGCCGCCCCGGTCCTTGCGTCGAGTGGAGCTGCTGCCGCTGTCGTGCGGGTGGTTGTGGTCGCCGCTGCTGTTCAGAGAGGAGGTCTGGTCGCTGCCGTTGGACGATGTCGACAGCGTACGCTCTCGGTCGCTGATGTCGACAGAGGCCCTGTCGCTGCGCTTGGCGTTGCTGACGCGACGCTCACGAGGCGACGGACCGACGACGGCCGACAGCTGTCGAGAAGACGACGAAGGCGATGATGACGACGATGAAGAGGATGACGACTTCTCGCTGGGCTTGTCGGTCGGTGTGTGGCCCCTCGACCAGAGTAACGCGGGCGCCTCGCCCGACCTGCGCTCGCTGGTTCGCTGGTGACCGCCGCTGTCACGGCCGCGGCGCGGCGATAGCAACGACGGCGACGACGATGCGGATTCGCCACGAGGCAGTCCGCGCGTCGAGTGCCCTCCGCCGGAGGAGCCCTTGCCATCACCGCCCGTCATGCGGCTTCGCCTGCCGGCTGACGATGACGACGACGAAGACGACGATGATGAGCCGGCGGCGTCGGTCGACGCGAGGCCGACCAGCGCGCCGAGGTCGTCCGATTTCTGTCTCCGCAGCTTCTTCTTGATACCGCCGCCGCCGCCGCCGCTGATGATGGCCCCTGAGGGAACGAGGGCGGCGTGTCGCCTTGAGATATGGGCGGGCAGGCTGCGACGGCGCTCAAGCCGGGTCTCGCGATCGATGCGCGACAACGCCCGGGCGGCGGTTGGTGCGGCGGCTGCGGCCACGGTCACGGCTGCGGTGGCGCTAGGCGCGTGCACGTTCCGTGTCGACGCGGACGCGGTCGTCGGCGCTGCGCTGCTGCTGAGGTCCTTCTCGCCGCCGTTTTCTTGGTGCCGTCGGGCCGATGACGACCCCGCGATGGAGGCCGACCACAATGCGCCGTCCCTCTCGCGCACGCTCCGCCGGGCGTCGCTCTTGCTACGTTCCCTAATGCTGCCCGCGCTGTCGTCGCCGCCACTGCCGCTGGCGCGCGACTTGGACGAAGAGCTGCTGTTGGTGCCAGATGCGCCGCCCGAGTTGTGGGAGGAGCGCGATGATAGTCGAGTGGAGTCGTGAGAAGAGGCGCTTGGAGCTGGAACGGAGGAAGGCAAGGAAGAGGGACGGTGATGGGAAGCGGGTGAGGTGGAAGCCGAGCTTGTTGTGGGTATCCTGAGCGCGGGGTCGCGGCTGCGCTTGGAGGCATGCCTCGGCGAGATGGGTGAGGAGGCTTCGCCTTCGGCGACTGTGCCTCCTCCATTGTTGGGCCGCCGCTTCGACGAAGGTTCGGCCCTTTCCATCGCTTCAACGTACTTGTGGTGGAGTATGATTACTTGCGTGTAGAGGATGGATCTGGGGTGCAATCAATGATCTGTTATGTGAGATTATTGATTTTGGAAGACTAATTTCAAGAGATTATGTTGTGCTGAGCTCCAAGAAGAAAATCATGGCCTCGCAGATGAAGAAGATCAAGAGGTCAGGGAGATAGAGTATGGATGTGGGAGGCATACGTAGGTTCGGCATGAATGGCCGAATGAAAAGTGGGTCCTACTCCTCTGTTGATGTCGCCAACACCACCAGAAGCTCTTCCACTTTCAAACGAGAAGGAACTGTGCGAAACGACGACTAACAACCAGAAACAGAGAACGTAACGTTTCTTTTCTCAACCGTCAGAAGGGACACGCTGCGCTCTTACCTTTTCAGTCCAACGTAGAATGTGCGGCACGCACTTGGTGGCCAACTGATGATCCGCAAGCACACGCGAGTCCTGTCGGCCACGTCCTCCTCTTCCCCGAGTGGGCCAGGGAAGGCTTTATGTCTCCGCACTGTGCGCACTTGCATCTGGGTCGCCTATTTGGATTCTGTCAATTTACGAATAAATTGAATATTTTTTTAAGTAGTAACAAACCTCCCAACCACCTTCGTCAGGAAGGGCCACCACAGGCCGAGGGTCGCGCTCTAGGAGGCCAGGTGCAGAAATAACAACAATAACAATAAGTTTAAGAAGTCTGCGCATTGGTTTTAGAGAAAGCCAGGGGCAACATTTGTGAACAGTGAAGCTGGGGGCAGGTGCCCCTGGCGTGGTGGCAGCCACGCTAATAAGACGCGTAGTTAGGGGTCCAGAAGTCGCACACGTAGATGGCGTTGAGGCTGACGGCATCGGTCTGGACGGTGCAGCTGCCCGAGGCTCCATTGTAGGCGCCAACGCCACCCACAACGGCATACGGCTGCGGCTCTTCCTGATCAGTCGAACACCCATGTTCGCGGCGTGGAGCAGCAGCTTGTCAGCCACATTGCTCGAGTAGTGGTGAATCATGTTTGTGCTAAAATCGTACCTGGTTGTTGAAGTTGTTCGCTCCATTGAGCACCACTTGGTCGGCTCCGTTGTTGAAGTAGTGGACGATGTTGCACAGCTCGTAGAGGGAGCCAGTGTTGTTGATGGCCGGAGTCATGGTGCAGAGACCAACGTCGAAGCCCACCACCTCGGTGCCGTCCAGATCGTACAAGTAGTTGGCCCAGACATCTATGTACGTGTGGTGCTCAGCATTGGAACAAAACAACAACAACGGCTGGAGCGAGGGGCGTGCCATTCTGTAGGGGTGCAGTGCCGAAGAAGAGATCGCTGGGAGTAACGACGTCCGTGGTGGATATCTCCAACACGGCGTAGTGGTGACGAACCCAGTCTCTGTCGTCCCTTTGCGGTGAGCACCCCCGTTGTCCGTGGGCCGATGCTACGTCGAGGGTCAGGAGGGCGAGCGCAACCACCGCGAGGAACACAAGCTTGAAGGTCATCTCTGGGTGTGGGTTTGATGATGATTGTAAGAAGGGCTCGGTCTATTCGTCTTTAAAACATCCCTCTTTGCTAAAGTGCTTACTAAAGCGCCTTCGCGTGGATGGTGTGACCCAAGTCCTCGCATTCTTAAGTTCGAACGATGACGTGAACTGGTGTGCCTGTACACATTCGCACCTTGTGAAACACCCGCAAGTACACCAACCCAAGGCTGGGCTGGGCTTCAGAAGAGGCCGTTCCAGGCGCACACGTCTTCGTGCCAGGCCCGCACGCAGCCGGGGCTCTGTTTGAGCGGGCTGTGGCAGCAAGTCCACCGATCGCCCTCGGCGCTTAGCGACGGCTTCCACCGGCCGTCGTGGAACGCACACGCCTGCTCGCTGTTGGCGACCGGCCGGAAGCCCCAGCCGCATCGCTTGCACACGCACCGGCGCACGAGGTGGCGATACATGTGCTTCCACTTGATCTGGTCCTCGCTCTTGCCGCCCTGGAACACGAGCGACAGCACGGGCAGGTGGACCGACACGGTGCGGCTGCGCAGGCAGTGCGGCCGCCACATGATGTCGTGGTCAGCCAGGCCGCGGAAGGTGCGGTTGATGAGGGCCACTTGCACCAGTTCGGCGGCGTCGACGAAGGACATGATGTGGACCAGCACCTCCAACGGCAGCGCGTCGAGCGTGCCCATGGCTGTGGGGACGTCAGCCCCCTCTTCCTCCCCACCCTCTACGCGGGCTCGCTTGGCCGGCGGCTGCGTGTCGGCTTCTTCTTCGACATGTCGCTGGTGGCTGGTGATGGATTCATGGTTGCGCATCTTTGATTTGGGTTGGAGAGCTGAGCTCGTGGTCTCGTGGTGGTAACTATAGTTTAGTCTATGCAAGGGTGGTTTTCCTCCTCATTACGTCGTGTAGTTCTTGGTGTTGAAGAAAAAGGTTGGAAAAGCAGCTCTTTCTGTGCAGCGCAATCGATAATCGACTTGTTTGCAGAGAAAGACGAAGATGGAGCCGTACACCTACGAGAGCGAGAATGGGATCAAGCTTGTGACGATTAAGGGCCGCACCTACCGCAAGGCGCCTGTAAGTGCGTTGAAGGATCGAAGGCGGGGCGAGAGCAGCGCTGGGCAAGATGGTGCGGGCACCAAGAGGCGCAAGGGTGGCAGGAGGGCCGCTGCTGGATTGGGGGACGAGGAGGGTGCCGACGACGTGGAGCGCTTGACGGAGGAGCTCTGCGACGCACCCTCTTCCGCCATCGATGAGGAGGCGCTCGCGTTGGACATCAGAAAGGAGGGCGAGCTCTTCACCTATCGAATGCATGTTCCATCGGCCTTCTTTGGCAACATCATTGGCAAGGGCGGGCAGATGCGGACCCGTCTGCAGACTGAAACCGGTGCCACCATCGCCGTGCCCAAGCAGGGCAGCACCAGCGAGGACATCAGTACCCAACACGCCTGCTATTTATTTATATATTATATTTATATTTATGAAATTTACTTACATGGTGTGGTTGGTGCAGTCATCAAGGCGGAGAGGGAGAAGGCCATCGTGTCGGCGAAGACCAGGATCGATGTGCTCGTACAGCAGGTACATAGCCAACCGCGTAGTGGCGCAGGTGTTCGTACAACATACTCGCTCACATCTTCTACTTTCGGCAGGCCAAGGACAAAATGGACTACACCCACTTCCTCTCGATTCCACTTACGCCTATCAAGGACAAGGTCAAGCAGTGGCAGGACGAGATCACACAGAAATACACCCCAGGTTTGAACCTGTGGCCGACGCGCATCCACAGTGTAAGAGATGCCCACGAGCTAACCTCAACTCGGGGTTGTGTCGTGTCTGGTCTGTTGTATGTTGTGACGTGCCATGTGTGGTGTGTAGAAAACACAAGAGGGTTCGATCCTTCGATCCTGCTGGCCCCCGAGAAGATGCACTTGACGGTGCTCATGCTCAAGCTGTTTTCTGCGCAAGAGATCAACAAAGCCAAGGAGCTGCTCAAGCAGGCCTCCGCCCAGGTCTATGATCTGCTGGGCTCGAGGTACTATCGCCACCCACCACTACTTCATTCTCCTTGCGAGAACGGAACACGACACACACGCACACACGACACACGAACCATCACGCGCACATTGCTGATTGTGCATTGCCTGCAGATCAGAGGTGGTGCGATTGCAGGGCTTGGACATCATGAACGACGACCCTAGCGCTGCGGATGTGGTGTACATCAAGGTGCAGGAGGTGGGCGACAAGCGACTCATACCAGTCTGTGGTAAACGGCCTCTCCACTCCTCCGTCGCCCCAAGTCAATCATGGTATGGCTCATTTCTCACCACATGAGACCCAACATCCAGACCACTTGACGAAGCTGTTCTACGAGGCTGGACTTGCCAGCTCGCCAGACCGCGCTCTTAAGGTGCGCCTGTATCACTGGAACATGCTAGCTTGACAATGCTAATCGTTCTGCGACCGTGCAGCTGCATGCCACGCTGGTCAACACGCGTTACAGGAGGACGTTATCATGGGGAGAGGAGGGTGGCGATGATGAAGGTCGCGGTGGACAACGAGGAACCCAGCGACAACCGTTCGACGCCACCGACATGCTGCGCAAGTACGGCAACATCGACTTTGGCCAGCACAGGCTCACCGGCATTCACCTGTCGGAACGCGGTCGGTTCGCGGCCGACACGGGCTTCTATCACTGTGTGTCTTCCATCAACTTCCCTTGAACCCATCAACATACAGACGATCTGTTGATGGATGCAAGTGACCGCCTTCACTTCCTTCTCGGCCTCCTGTCCGCTGGAAATGTCATACGAATTCCGCACATTTTGCTGTCATAGCTACTCGACCGTTACGGCAAAAATTCCAGCCTTTTTCCAGGAGTATTTATTTCCACGTTTTTTCGGGGTGGCGAGCAACCGTCCGGCGGCCACAAAACCAAGCGAGCAGCTGCGGTGGCCCTTTTGTGCTCCCAGACCCCAGCGTGCCACGAGACTTGCGCACGTAACATCTCATCAATCAATTAATCAACTTAGCCTCAGCAAGACCCTCGAGTTTGCGCTTGATAGAGTGGGAAATACCCTCACCGACTGCCATCCTCTGCCAACTACCCCCTACACAACCATGTTGAAGCTATCGTCCAAGCGCTCGCATGACATGATCATCGACGCGCCTCCGCCCCCCTGCTCGCCGCATCGCATCCAATTCCTCGGCTCGCCCCCTTCCCCTCCCTCGCCCTTCAAGCGGGTGCGAACCTCGCCTGCGGTAGAGCCGCAGTCTCGGAAGCATTCGCGGGATGAGAGCCCGTTCGCTCCCGCCTCGCCATTCAATCCAAGTACGTAGTCCTTCTTGCCTCTTGTGCGTCATCTGCCAAGATGCTCACCCTTCACCTCCCCAGATGTGGCCGAAAGATTTGTGCCCAGAAAGAAGCAGCGCGCTGAGGAAGGAGAGAAGCTTTACACCTTAGAGGAGGTGAAGCGGATCGTGGCGCAAGTGGTGGCAGAACGAGAGAATGCTCTGCGGGAGGAGTACACGCAAACGCTACAACAGAAGCTTGAAGGTACGATTACGCTCTTTTCTCCCTCTTCCCAAGATCTGCTCTAAGCTCAACCCTCTGCAGATCAATTCAATCTCTTCTCCAATTTTGCCCAAGACAACATCGCGAGACAGCTGAGGGAGAATGACACCTGCAGCTACATCGGCTAAGCGCCCGACCACAACCAAAAACGAAAGAATCGATTGCAAGGAGAGTAGCGTCTTCGACCCCACGGAATACCTGTAAAAACCTTCTTCCCGTTCCGTAATAGAGGCCTCTTGGTCTCTATCTTCTTGTACTCTTATAGAGCATCTCTGCCATGCTGGTCCTTCCCCAGAAAGGAGCTCCAGGAACACGAGCGATGAAGTAAAGAGCTTCGAATCGAAAAGATGTGCGTTGTGTACACATCTTTTCAATTTCATTCTGCCGCAAAGAAAAGAAACGTAACAAAATAATAATAAATAATACACCGCAAAGAGATGAGGAAGTGCTTCGTCGCGCGGTCGTGCCTCAACTCCCCCGTTCAGGTGCGTGTTCGTGCTGAGGGAAGATACAATCGTATCTTAATCTTGACAATCTTTATTAAATGTTCTACGCTCCCCACCGCCTCACGCCCCCTCCACGCAGGGCGGCCTCCTAAAGGGCGGCAGCCTGGAGGCCGTGTCCGTGCTCGCCCCGCGCTTGTTCGCACCTCTGTCCAGCTGGGCGTCGTCCTCCCGCCAGTGCCGGAGCTACGCGGTGACCGTGCCGCCCAGCGAAAAGTTCGCCCGGGCCAAGCGCATCGAGACCTTCGGCGAGACCGTCTGGAGCGAGGTACCGCCTGTCCACCACCACCCCTCTCGCGGGTCCGATGAACTCATCTCTTTCCAACAGTTCACACCGCTGGCCCAGAAATACCAGGCCGTGCAGCTCGGCCAGGGCTTCCCCGGTACTGCTTGCCTGTGGTGATGGCATTGACGGTGGTGCGGTGGTGGTGGGTGGTGGGTGGTGCCACAGCGCTAACAGACGCCTTCACCAGACTTTCCGGCGCCCGACTTTGTGTTGGCCGCGGCGCAGACGGCGATCCACAACAACCTCAACCAGTACACGCGCATGCAGGGACACCCCAGGCTGGTCAAGGCGCTGGCCAACACCTACAGTCCGCTCTTTGGCCGTGAGCTCGACCCCATGAACGACATCCTCGGTACACTGCGTGTGTCGTGTGTGTCGTGCTCTGTGCGTGTCGTGTGTGCGGTGGCGAACTCATCGCGTGGCGTCGCCGCAGTGACGGTCGGGGCCACGGAGGGCATCTTCGCGGTGATCTCGGCCCTCGTCAATCCGGGCGAGGAGGTGATCATGCTGGAACCCTTCTACGACGCCTACCCGACCGACACCATCCTCAACGAGGGCGTGCCCGTCTACGTGCCCCTCCGGCCGCCCAAGGTTCCCAAGGGCACCATCACCTCCGGTACGCGTGTCGTCTCGTGTGCGTGTGCGTGTGCGTGAGCGGCGTGTGTCGTGCTGTGCGGCATTGGTGCTTAAGCTTAAGTGCTTGCGGTGCGTGGACAGCCAACGATTGGAAGTTGGACTTTGATGAGCTGGAAAGCAAGATCACGCCCAAGAGCAAGATTCTGATCTTCAACAACCCCACCAACATCCCGGGCAAGGTTCGACCTCCGCACACCGCACACGACCGCACACACCGCACGACACACGACATTCCATGCATAGTTCATGCGCGCCTGATGCGAATTCGTTCTTTGCGTGTAGGTGTGGACGAGGGAAGAGATGGAGGAGGTGGCTCGGCTGGCGAAGAAGCACAACCTGATCGTGCTGAGCGACGAGGTCTACGAGTGGATGACTTATGACGACGCCACGCACATCCGCATGGCCAGCCTGCCCGGCATGTGGGAACGCACCATCACCCTGGGTGCGCCATCAACCGCACACGCACGACCGCACACGCACACGCACACGACTCACGGTGCGCTCTGTGGGGTGCGACGCAGGAAGCGCCGGGAAGTCGTTCTCGGTGACGGGGTGGAAGGTCGGGTGGGCCATCGCACCGCCGCACTTCACCACCGCTCTCGGGACCATCCACCAGTTCGACTGCTTCACACACGGCACGCCCCTCCAGGAGGCCATCGCCGTCGCCTTCGAACAAGCCGAGGTATGCGGCACGCATTCCACACAACATTCCACATTCCACACCATTCCACTTACATTCAACGCATTCCTTAACCGTGTGCGTGTGCGGCGTGTGTCGTGTGCGTGTCGTGTGTGCGGTGCGAGCAGGAAAAGAACTATTTTCCCGACCTGAAGCAGATGTACTGGCGCAAGCGAGACAAGCTGGTGGCGACGCTGCGCGACTGCGGCCTCGCGCCGGTGGTGCCCAAGGGCTCCTACTTCGTCATGGCCGACACGTCCTCCATTCCGTCGTCCGTCTTCATGGGCAAGGGCAAGGCCGAGCCGGGCATCGGCGGCGACGGCCCCAAGGAAGAGACCCGCGACTACCAGTTCTGCCGCTGGCTCACACGCGAACTCGGTACCGCACCCGCGTGTCGTGTGTCGTGTGTCGTCGTGTGTCGTGTGTCGTGTCGCGTGTCGCGTGTCGCGTGTGGTGTCGCGTGTTATGTATCGCGTGTGGTGTCGTGTGTTATGTATCGCGTGTGGTGTCGTGTGTCGTGTGTGTCTTGTGTCGCGTGTCGCGTGTGGTGTCTTGTGTCGTGGAGGGTGCTGAGGGGTGGTTGTGTGGCAGGCGTGGGCGCGATTCCGCCGTCGGCGTTCTTCTCGAAGGAGAACGCGCACATTGCGGAGAACTTTGTGCGGTTCACCTTCTGCAAGCGGGACGAGGTGCTCGACGCCGCGGCCACCAAGCTCCACAAGCTTCGCGACCTCTCCGCGCAATAAGTCGACAAAACCAAATAAAATGCAAATAATAGCCATTATTTTATTATTTCACTCCAAAACAGTGCCGGAGCATTTGGTTAGCTCAGGCTCCAATCGGAAACTTGATGTAAACACCAGATATATACCTACATCGCCTCCACTCCAGTGGCGAAACACTGACAATGCTCAAACGACAAAGAGAAGGCGCAGGGACGAAGGAAGAAGATGTGGCAGCCACGCCTTCTTCGGAGGCGATTGTAAAGAGGGCTCGAACCGGAACAACAACAACAACAAGCACCAGTTGTGGTAGCGGCGGCGGCAGAAGAAGAAGAAGAAGCGTGGTTGCTGAACGATCCCAACCTGCTCCTCCTCGTGCTCGACCACAGCTTGCTCCACAGGGTACCTCCCCATTCCTCGTCTACTTCAACAACCTCGTCTTCTTTTTCATTGATTCTTTGTTCGTCTCAGGTGCACGCGAGCCGGACGGCTGCGCTGGACCACCCGTTCCGGGGGCTCAACCGGGCGGCACGGCAGGCCTGGCTGGCCCACCCCATCAGCCTCGCCTCCTCCGTGCGCCTTCGCCTGGCCGGCCACCCGCACCCCGTGGCCTCGCCTTCGCTTTCTCTGCGGCACCGGGTGCGGTGCCTTGCGTGTGCGTGTGCGGTCGTGTGCGGTGTGCGTGTGTCGTGCGTGTAGGTGCGCTTACAAGGCAGCCGTGATATCAGGAGACGCTCATGTACATGTTGGACGCTGCGGCCCAAGACTTCGAGCGGTCCGTCAAGACAGAGCAGAAGCAGCGGAAGAATCACATCAATTGCGAACGAGGCCGTCGTTTGCTTCTGAAGGCGGTACTTTTTTGTCGCCCCAGCGCTCGTGTGCGGTGTGTGCGGTGTGCGGTGCCAGATGCTGTTGGCTTTGAAGTGGTGATAAGGGGTACACGACAACAGGTGGAGGAGTGGGTGGAGGACAGGCTTTGTTCTGAAGAAGGCGAAGAAGAAGAGGGTGAGGACCTGGGGGGCCAGTTGAGACAGGAAGCAAAGAAGCTCATCAAGTGCGCCACCGACATCAAGGTCGAAAGTACGTACCTGCTGCTGCGCAAGAGGTGCAAAGTTTGATGACAAAATCAAACCAATCGGGCTGAACAGAGCTGGAGAACTGCAAGGAGGGCACCTGGAGCACGCAGGTCCGCTTCACCATTGAAGGTTCTCTTCTTCTCTTCCCTGGTCTGCTCTGCTATAACAAAGGGGAAAGAGCAGCCGAGTGTTAAAGCAGCGCACACGTGCATGAGCAGGAACTCTGTTTGAGCATGTGGAAAACTGTGATGACGACCTGGACTGTGAGGAGAAGACCACAGCCCCTTCAGTACGTATTTCTGTCTACTACACGTTTTCTTTTTCTTCTTCTTCACTTCTTCACCCCACAACCTCCAAGAGGAGAGACTGGAATGACTGACTGACTTCCGAAAAGCCAGAGGAGTTGGCCACGTTGCGTGAGACGTGGCAAACGCAGTTGGACACCGACCGACACACTGTCGTCGCTCTTTGATCATCTCCTCCATTCCACCCCCTTCCTTTATCGTGATGACTGAAGGCCAGGTGGTGATCAAAAAGAGAGTGTTTACTACATCATCATCGTCATCATTGTTCTGCTTTCCGCTCCGTCAATATCCACATTCCTCCATTCCAGTCCCTCTCGACGCACACACGCCGCGACGCCCGCTTCGAGCCATCAAACGCATTCCAGCGACGTCCGCCCATCGATCCACGCCCGCCGCGCGCGTGCGGCGGACGCCGCCAGCTTGACATGGTTCGGTCCGACGACGCCACCCAGCCTCTCGCTCGCACCGATGGTGCAGAGCAGCGCGCGCCCAATGGTGGTCCTCACATCTCTTCTCAGCATGTGCCTTCTTACTCCTACCAAGCACCACCAACAAAACAAACACGTCAGACTCTCGCGTGTCGTGTGTCGTGCGGTGCGTTACCTTTGACTCGCCGGGGCGTTTGGCCTCTCTACTGCCTCTCTGCGCGGCGCGGTTCTTCCTCTCGCCGTCCTCCGGGTTCCGACGCGGTCTCCTACATCACCATCACCGACATCAGCCTCGTCGCCGTGCGTGTCGTGTCACGTCGTGCGGTGTGCGTGTGCGGCGTGTGTTGTGTGTGCGGCGCGTGTCGTGTCGCGTGTGTGTGTGTGTGCGGCGTACCCAATGGTGGCCATGCGAATGAAGGTGGAGCGGGTGGAGCCGTCGCTCGGCGCGTTCTTGTCGGCGGCCTTCTTGATGGTCCCGTTGTCTCCCCGCGACTCGCCGGGCTTCCCGTGCTTGTCCGTGTCGCTCGCCGCCCGCTGCATGCCGCCCGCCCGCCCGCCGTTCCTCCGCCCCGTCCTGTCCGCCGCGCTAGTCCCGTCAGCCTCCGTGAGTGCGTGTATCGCGTTGCATCGCGTCGCGTCGCGTGCGATTGCGTGTGTGTCGTGCGTGTGCGGTGCGTGTCGTGTGCGAATGGTACCTGTCGCGTCGGTCTTCGGCCCGCCTGGCCAGGGCCATCCGCTGGGACTGTTGTGTTTGGGTGCTGCTGTCCCTCTGCTGCTGCGATTCAATTCAAAAACGTTCCGTCAAATCGCCGCACGACACGACACGCACACATCCGCCGCACGACACGACACACGACACACGACACGACACGCGCGGAGGGTGAGGGTGGTGGGAGGAGGGGGTTACCCCGCCGTCGATGCTCTGGGGGATGGCGCGCTTCTTGCGCTCGACGAGGTCCCAGTCGTAGACGCAGTCGTACTCGAAGCCCTCGCGGATGAAGAGGTCCCGGAAGAGCTTCCGCAGGTACGTGTAGTCCGGCGTATCGTCGAACCGCAGCGACCGCGCATAGTTCAAATACGTCGCAAACTCGGCTGCGCACACGACACAACATGACACGCACCACGCACGGCACGACACGCACGACACGACACACGCGTGAGATGAGGGTGGTGGTGATGATGGGGGGGGGCGACGTACCGGGGAAGCCCTTGCAGAGCTGCTCGACGGAGGTGGTGATCTTCTTCTCGCTGATGCGTTCGTACTTTTCCTTCTTGGTGGTGGCCTTGAGCCCCTGCCAGGGCAGGTTGCCCCGCGCAAAATACATCAGCACGTAGCCGATGGCCTCCAGGTCGTCCCTTCGGCTTTGCTCTGTGTGCGCACGACACACACGCAACACACGCGTGCGTGCGGGAATGTGAGTTGGAACGGCGTGGGCGGTGGCGCGTGTGTTGTGTGCGTCGTGCGGTGGCGTGTGTCGTGTGCGTACCGATGCCGAGATGTGTGTTGATGCTGGCGTAGCGGGCCGTGCCGGTGAGGTTCTTGTTCTCCCGGTAGGGGATGTGCACGTGCGATCGCGAGTCCCTGTACTTCTTCGCCAGACCGAAATCTGGACGCACACACATCGGCCACGACCCGCTCGTAAGTGTGTGTGTTGTGTGTGTGTGTGTGTGTGATGATGATGTGCGGTGTGCAGTGGGAAATGGGTTCGCACCGATGAGGTTAACCTGGTTGCTCTTCGCCTCGAGGCCCACGAGGAAGTTGTCGGGCTTGATGTCGCGGTGGATGAAGTTCTTCGAATGCACGTACTCGATGCGGCGAATCTACAGCCCAACGTGGTCAGC